GGTGGGTCCCACCGCCGGGTGGCACCATCAAGGTGAATGTGGCGAGGGCCCCGCTACGTGGGGCATTTGCAGCGATCGTGCGTGACTCGACAGGTAAGTTTCTTTATGCTCTTTCTTCTATTGCATTCAGGTGGGAACCAGTGGAGCGTGGAGGGATGGATGTGCTTCTTCGGTGTATTCAGTGGTGTATATCCCAGTCCTTCTTGCGTATCCACGTGGAGTCTCATCATTCAGAGCTAGCTTGTTTCTTTAGAGAAGGTACCCCGTGGTACTTTCATGATGTTTATGCTAGACTGCGTTTCCTCTGTTCTATCGCGACGGTCCAGTGGTTTCATTGTGACGTGCGGGCGAATGCCCCGACGACTGAGTTGGCATGGTGGGCCGTGGATAGTACACAAGGGACGTGGGAGTTTACTAATCTGCAGGATCTTGACATTCGGGTACGATCTCTCCTTCTTATGGACGATCTGCCCTTCTTTCGCATAGATGAGGATGGGGGTAACCCCTAGTTGTACTGGTTTGAGTGCCTTAACGACTGCGTCTGCGGTTAAGAGGCGCACGTATGTACCCGCGGTTAAAGGGTGCCCGTTGGTTCCCGTGGTTTGGGGCCACGTGTTGTACCGACGGTGATCGGTGCCTTTGCGAGATGACGGGTGTAGTTTCGCAGATTTTCTTTCGCCCCCGTCGACTCCTGCGGCTCCTGGGGTACGTCGGCGCTTGCGTCTGGGTTTTTAGCGCCCGTAGTTGCCAGCGGTATTTGGCATCCTAGCCCGGGCAGAGGTGGCTGTCCGGTAAAGGCTTTTTCCATCTTGCACTTCATCTGAGTGCCTTAACGACCGCGCCTGCGGTCAAAAGGCGCACGTATGCGTCCGCGATAAAGGATGCCCGTCAGTGCTTGCGGATTGTGGATTTGAGCACCCGTGGCGCACACGGAAAGTGCGTATGCGTGGTACCGTCATCAAATCGGTGCCCTCGTTGGGAGGCTGGGTGGGGCCCGACGAGGTTTCTTCCGCCTGCGTCAGTGCTTGCGCGTGAGGTTAGAGCACCCGCTATCTGTCGGCGGTAATGGGCTAAGGGTTGGCAACTAACCCATAGTGGTACCTCTTCCTTCCTTCTCCATTTCTCTTGGAATTTCCCCTCTTGGAATCTCTTCACTTTTCATCTTCATCATTGTGGATTTGGACTTTCTTGAGACTGCTTCACTGGTTATTTTATTGGATTTTGGACTTTCTTGGATTTCTACTCGGCTGGACTACTTGGATTTGGTTGGGTTGAGACTTCTAGTTGGGCCGTGGCATTGGTGTTGGGCTTCGGGCTTCACGGATGGGCTGCTCACCTTGGNTAGCACACATGCCTTCCTTCATGGTTTGGGCTTTCCTAGTTTTGGGCTCTACTTGGCTCACTTGGATTATTTTTGCACATATTATTTTATTCATTCTTTAGTTGGGCTTTTCTGGATTTTAGACTGGACTTATGTCGATTGCATTTCTTGGCTTAGAACATTTTTTCTTGATCGGATTATCTGACCTTAGGCCTTACCCTTGCGGGGGTTGAGGTTCCGGGAATGATTTTATTCCTAGATCTAAGTGGAGTGTTTTGAGTCGGCGTTGTAATTGCACTTAAGTCTATGTTCCAATATCCGATAAGCGCTTCACATTATAGTTCTTTGGTTGTTGCTTACTTTTTATACAAGTGAGGAGCCTGTTCCCGCTTGTTCAGACGTTTGTATTCTTTGATTATTTAATAAAATGCATTTAAAAAAAACATACGGTTCATCAATCCATTATTCCTAATTTAACAATTCATAATCGTCATTCAAAATATTCATCATCATCAATGCATCATAATCAACAATCAACCAATCGTCATAATATCAAATAGCGGCCTAGCATCGAGTGGTAACACCATAGCTTACCTTCATGCATCACATATGGTCATCAAAACATCATTTTTATTCCAAAAAATCATCTTTATATTAATCATAATTAATTAGTGTCAAAAATAAACATCATGTTTTCTTAGTTTACTTTAATTTAAAACGGTTAGGTTTGGTTTTCAAAGCCCATAACCGAAACTGAAACAAAACCATTAATTTTTTTGTACTTCTCGTTTTTCGGTTCAGTTTAGTTTTTAAGAAAATTTTATCAAATTCAATTTGATTTTGGGTTTTCATGAACCACCCTTACATGGAGTAAAAATGATTTTATTAATTGTCATAATTTTCCCCTACGTGCAGTAACAATGATTTTATTAATTGTCCTAATTTTCCCCTGCATGCAGTAACAATAATTTTATTAATTATCCTAATTTTCCGTTTTTGGGTTATAGGTTAAGAATTGTATTGGACTATGGGACTTGGGAGTGTGGGACGGTGGATACTCAATCGTGTCATATCTTAAAACAACCACTGAATAGTCTCCACATTTTAAAAAACAAATTTCATTCTCTTTTTTCTCGTGTTTCCCTTGATTTGGGTAGAAAAGTAAAATCCGTACAGCAAATTACACACGTCAATCAAATTCGATATAGTTACTAGTAGTTTATTATTTGAAAAATGCAACGGGTACACCAAAGGTGTACCCCAAATGTCCCTCACCCCCTCCATCACCACAAAAATTAGCATGTAATTTTCAAAAAAAAAATAAACTAATAAAAATCAAATAAAAATGAATGGACAAAAAGCATGTGGTGTACATTTGGGGTACACCTTTGGTGTACCCCTAGCATCTTTTCCGGTTCCAAATTAAATTTATTCCCTCTATCTTAAAACTTTTTTTCCATTTCTTTTTAAAAGTTTGACCGACTTTTTCTAAAATTTAATTTATTTGATTTAGGCGTAAAATTAAAAAATAAATTTATATATTTAAAAACTATATTAAAAGTTCTAGAGTGAAAAGATGAAGAGAGTAATATTCAAATTGCAAAATAAAATATCATATTTTTGAAAATTATTTTATTTAAAAATTAGTATAGAAAACTTGCATATTAAAAAATTATGTTATGTCAAGAGTTATACAAAACAAGATGTGACAAGAGTGTTTTTTATATCAAATATTCAATAAAAGTACACAAATAAAAAGCGTTATTGAAAGGTGAGAGAAAAAACTCCCTTTGTCCCAAATTAAGTTGCATATATTTACTATTTATATGAACGTTAGCATTTCATTCTTGATCGCCATATGTGCAAAACCTCCCTATGTAGAGCATATTCTTTCTTGATCATCGTCGTCAGAAATCAAAATCATTTTTACCCCCTTTGGCACTCACCTCTCAACCACTTAAGTTACGTCAACCAAGCATAAAGTTAATTTTTTAGACTATTGGTATACACTCCATCATTGCCATAATACAAAGTAAATTTTAATTTGGGAAATGAATTAGAATAGGACTATAACATAATAAAAAGAAGAAAATGGGGCTTTCATATTTTTAACATCAAAATAGAACTTATAATGGAAAAACATGTCAATAAATTATGTCAAAAACTCTGTGAAACACCATCTGTAATACCCCGTATTAAGATTAGAATGAGAAGAACTCAAAAGGATCGATAGTACTACTCATACCAACAAGGTGCATCTTATTTTCGAGGGCTCATCACCTAGAAACTCCAAAGTCAAGTGTGCTTGACTTGGAGCAATTTTAGGATGGGTGACCCCCTGGGAGACAACAACAACAACAACAACCCAATTGAATTCCACTAAAGTAGGGTCTAGGGAGGGTGTGTGTACGCAGACCTTGCCTCTACTCGGAAGTAGGGAGGCTGTTTCCAAGAGACCCCCTGCTCCAACAGCACAAAAAATATGATAAGAATCACAGTATAACACAGATAAAGCACCAAGTACAATGGAATGAATGTCCTGCAAGCAATAACAAAAATTTCCAACCAAACCAGACACACTACAAAAAACCTCTAAAGCACCGGGCCCCTATCCAGCTACTTTAATCCTAGTTCTCCAAAGATTCCTATCTAAAGCCATATCCTCAGTTAGGGTGAGAAGTCCTAAATCCTGCCTAATCACCTTCTTCCAATTCTTCCTAGGTCTACCCCTTCCCCTACTTCCCCCGACAACCGTAATCCTCTCGCATCTCCGTACAGGGGCATCAGCATTCCGCCGTCTCGCATGACCAAACCATATCAACCTCGCTTCCCGCAACTTATCTTCCACTGGCACCATGCCTAACTGACGTGGGATAACTTCGTTCGAAATCCTATCTAACCTTGTCTTCCCACACATCCATCGTAACATCCGCATCTCCGCCGCATGCAGACGACGCACATCCACATCGTAACATCGACATCTCCCCCTGGGAGACTATGAAACTAATATAAGAAAACTACTATGTACAAATAATAACTAACCAATTAGTTATTTTCTTCCTTTCCTTTAACAACGATATAGCTGGCAGGTGATCTCGAAGACTTTTATGCCAAAGGCGTTTATTCCAAATATCAAAGAGGTGAAGGATGTCCAAGAGTTTTATGCCAAATGTCAAAGTTGCTCTTTGGCAAGAATCATATAGTCTGTATTCTTCCAAAGGGGTTTCGCTTTGACTTTGATGTTTTTATGACGGTAGAGGTCTGGGTTAAATCTATTAACGTCCCTTTGGAAATTATGAAATCTTATGACACTCGAGTGTTTGGGATCAAGGGTAAGGTGGGAACTCCCTTGCGCACAGAACAAATGACCAAAACAAGGGGTATAGTAGGGTGAGCTATTGTCGTATGAATGTTTGTTGCTCCCTACCTCCTATAAGGTTAATATTCATGGATGAAACTACTCCTATAATCAAGTGGTTGTGTATGAGGGTCTTTTAAACTTTTCTTTCCATAATAAAAAGTTTTGACATAACCAGGTGAATTGTATAGTCTTTCATCCTTGCCGAAGTAAGAAGCAAGTCGTAGGGTCCAGGGAAAAATTGACCAGTGGCTAGAAAAGAAACAAAGATAAACAATGGAGGGAGCCCCTACTCGTGCCATACCATAGACCACCATGGTGCGACCTTCATTGATGGAGAAGGAGGGTACAAGCAGCAACAAGGTTTTGGTTGAGGCTCACGTTGTTGTTCCAAAGGTAGCAAAAAGAGAAAGGTGACACAAGCAAGGTGTAAAGCTAGCCGTGAAAGGGGAAAGCAATGAGACCCTTAATCCTGGAATTGTGCCAACCCCTGTTGGCCAACATTCAGCCGCTGGAAAGCCCAAGCAAACTTCCTACACAGACCTTGGCTCTTCGCCAATGCAAGAACACACGTTCACTGCTCGTAATGATCATGTGCCACTAGTGATGAAACTTGAGGATGCTTCCCAGTGTCACACTGATGAACATGAGGTTTCAAAGGAAGTTGTCCCTAAAACATCAAAGGCAACGACTGCTCTACCAGGGAAGGTCCTAGGCATGGCCAAAGAACTTGCACCAACCCCATCACCAATGCCACAAAAAAATGACATTTTTCACATGTTTGGGGGTTTTGACCCGCAACCTGAGACATCGAGACTCATTGAGGTAGAGCTTGAAGAGATAGCTAGATAGCGTGTGAAACAAAAAATCAAGAGCAAAAGGGAGGGCCTTGCCTCCTCCTGGTTTGTACTTTATTTATTGTTTGCTTGACTTTGTTGTGAGGCAAGTGTTCTTGCTTGGTTTGTTGAATTGTAGAGGTATGTCTAAGTGCACTTTGTACTTTGACTTGGGTTTTTAATGCTACCATTTACATTTCACCCAAAAAGTTGTCATTGTTCTTAGCATTCAAATCCACTTTATCCTCATTTGTCTGAAATAGTAGAGTCCTCCATCTTGATTCCCCATACTAATAAAAGGTTTTAGCTTTAGGTCTTGTAACGTACATCATTTTTCGGGGAACAATGCCTCAATATGTGACACCTTTTTCAATTAATATACAGGAATCAAATTACTATTCAAATTGGTTACAAAAAAAATACATCAAAGTTTATTTAGATGTCAAATTAACTTTTTAGATCGAATAGATCAGAGTATATTCTCATCTTGTCAGGTAAACCAATTTTAGAATGGTATATATACCCGCAATTTCATTATGTCTCAAAACATCATTAATCATATGATTCGATACTCTAATATCAATAATCCAGCTAGGAGAATTACTTGTCAATTTTTTAATTGGAGTGCATATAAAAGGTGGCAAAGATAAAACATGAACACCATATCTCACTAGGTAGTAGTCACATTAACAAATTCAAGAACACTTTTTCCATCGTTAGTGAGCATAACATACGTAGTAGCTGACATTCATGATGCCGTGTTCCCCACGGTTCCCATATTGTAACTACTATTTCTATGTGGTCCGCTTCATCCACGCCCGTGATCACTTCTAGACGGGTATAATTCAGGGAAACTATTAAGCTTGAAACATAATCAATGTGGTGTCCCTTCGTGATACAGTGACGGCAAATAATACTAGATAGAATTTAGGATTGGATAAAGATAACTTGATTGGGCCATAAACACTTGGGTTGAACCATATTAAAAAATTGAGTTCAATCGATTACTTAGTTCTACTCAAGAGCCTATATACCGATTACTTTTCTATTCAACTTCCGATGTGGGATAGATTCTAACAATACTCCATCTGTCAGAATCTGTTCATCCACTTCACTTTCAATCTCATCAGAAATTGAGATAGAGGGAGTATTAGATTAGCTTCATTTGATCCGCTTTTCACAGCGAAGGCTACAACAATGGCTTTTGGTGCACTAGTGCTTCGCGCAAAATCTCTACTAGTCTCCTCCTTTATTATAATATTATGTTTGATATTTAGACGGTAATGGATTTTGTGACTATTATTGTTGTTGTTTTGATTGTGTATTACTATTATTGTTGTTGTTGTTGCTATTATTTTATTGCTCTATTATTTTGATTGTGAATTATTTGTTGTGGTAGTCATCTTTTGGTTGTTTGTTACGGAATAGCTTCTTGCTAAGTTGTCTCTTGTTTGTGTTTTTAGTGTGTGTGTAGGGTGGCTTTGGTTAGGAGCTAGTACAGATTTAAGGTCGTATCTTAGGATGGGTGAGGTGAGAGTGTGAAATCGAAGTAGGGTAGTGTCCAGTGTGCATTTTGGCTCGTGAGTATTCAAATATTTATTGAATGTGAATTTCTTTAAATTGGCAATGTAAAATTTTATTTCATATATAATTAATTATATACTCCCTCTGTCTCACAAAAAATTTCTTATTTTGATTTTTAGGGGATTTAAGATGAGTATATTTTGGTGTTTACTTTCCAAAAATGCCCTTGCATGTGATAGGTAGATTATTAGTAAAAAAGTACTACTCCCTCCGTCACTGAGTGTTTGTCCACTTTCATTTTTGCACACCATCCAATGCACTTCTTTAATCCATTTTATCTTGTAATTTGTATATTAAAAAATTATAAAAATTATATATTAATAATCTATATGTTAAGATGAATCAAACAAGATCACACATGACTATTTTTAGGCTTACACATTGAGAGAATTTGATAAGTCAAAGTGCTTAGATGAACAGTTCCAAAAGTTAAAAGTGGACAAACACTCAGGGACGGACCAAGTATGTGATAGGTAGGTTAAGAATTAGTAGGAGTAAAAGTGAATTTTTAATATAAATGAGAAAGTTTTTTTGCACGGATAAAAAAAAGAGAAGTTTTTATGGGATGGAGAGAGTACCATATAACACACTTCAATTTGGGTCCCCTCAATTTTAATTAGAAGCCAATATACATAAAATCTTTATAAAATACTCCCTCCGCCCCAAAAACTTTTTTCACGTTTTAAAGAAATGGTGTCCCACAATCTCCTTCTCATTCCATTTAAAAACCTAATGTTGCCCCTAACTTTGTCATACCCTACCTATCACATCATACTTTTTTCTTAATAATCTAAAGATTACATCTTACTTTTACCAATCACATCAAGGGAATTTTTGGAAACTCAATACAAAATTATATCTCCCTTATTTTCCCACTTTAGTCAATTTTTCCCTCTCTTTCTGAGACGGAGGGAGTATTTCTTAACACTAAGACCCAAAAATCAGTTGGGCACCAATCGCACCATGGACCCCTATAACTATAAATCAGATCAATCTACCCTGACCTCATTTGTGAGAAAAATATTTTTCTTCCACACGACGACCACACCCGACACCAGTGGCGGATCTAAATATTTAGATAGATGGGGGCGGTATTGATGGGGTCGAGGGCAGCGCCCCCAGATTTTTTTAAAATAGAATATGAAATGACAAAATATTTAAAAAAAATTCAAACATTTATTGAATGTAAAATATTTATTAATAGATAATGTAACATTTTATTGTATAAATAATTAATTATGTGCAATAAAATACACATTACTAAAAAGTTGAACAAAAATATTAAATTTAACCTAATTAGATGGGGTCACATTAATTATTTTGGGAGGCATAAATACATAAAAGTTTCATAAAAATATTTTTTTTACCTTATTACAAAAAATTAGTAGGGGGCATATGCCCCCAACAAGATCAATGTGCATCCGCCCCTGCCCGACACACACAATGGGTCCAACCAGAAGAGAATCTACATCTATGAATATGGGGCAGTCGCCCCCAATAAACTTTTTTTACTCCGTAATATACAATGTTATAATATTTTTTTTGTATAAAAATGAAGGAACGACCCCGGTAAAGAAATTAGTTTGCCCCCCACAGACAAAAGAAAATTTTAGTTTAAAAGTAAAAAATAATCACTTAAAAAGATATACATGTAAAATATTTAAAATATCATAATTATATTATGATTTGATATATTTTATATTTTATTTTTCTACTTTAAAAATACTTTTTTCTTATTTGAATATCTGTTTGAAAATAAAGTTATTTATTCTTTATCTTCAAAACGATACTCTTTAGTGTGCGTTTGTCCTCAGTTATATTTTTTTCTAGATCTGTCACTGTGCAACAATCAATAAATCAATACTCTCGTTGTCCCAAACTTATTCAACACTTCACTATTCTAAATTATAGGAATCTTAACTTGTTAGCGTTTTTCGTTGATTATTTGATAAAATAAAATGTTCTTTCACCACTGATTTTATTAAACCTTTTACATAATTTTTAAATATTTAATTTTTTATTTATCTACCAATTTTAAATAAAATAAATTTAAAAAACTTGACATTTGGTCTCAATTTGACTTCGAGAGGTCATTTTGGCACAAGAAAGTCCTTGGTTTCACTTTGAGCATGTAAAAGAAACCAGACACATGCATATTTTTGCTGGGACAGTGCTTTACCCAAAACATTTATTCGCGTGCCAAATATCCACACCGGGGGTTAAGTAAGGAAAGTTATGAAATCAGGTGGTGGGCCATAAAACCCACCGCATCAAACCGACCAAAGCAGCACAACGATAAACGAGTAACGGATGCCACGCATAGACCCCACAAACTGACTGAACCAACCATTTCATTTTGTGTTGAATTGTGGGGTAAATCATAAATGTACCATTGTACCGACGATTCCCATTTCTGTTGAATTGTGGGGTGAATCGTAACTGTATCCATGTGCAAATGGCCATATGCGTAGTACCCAACACAAAAGGGCATCCAACTGCCATACTACAAAGTGAAAAGAAATGGACCCCATCCTTGAAAGTTCTTCTAGTAGAGGTTAATTGAACTATAATCAGAGAGCAATGATAAAGGATAAAGCTTGCACTTAGTTTTGTAGAAAATTTGGAGAGTAAACTTTTTATACTAGTCAGCCTAGTGTAATGCGGCCCACCACAAAAAACCCAAACCCTGACCCTTAGCTTGGATCTTCAAATTAGTATACACTACTTGCCCCTCCCTCTTTAGTCCCTAACTAGGATTGAGATTTTCATAGAAAGTTGGTAAGCCTAAGAGATTGGAGTCAAAATCTCTTCCTCATAAATAAATGAAAGTAATCATTCGATTGAGCGGGGATAATATAAATTAAGATTTGATCACAGATTGATGTTAAATATTAGAGCATGCACTTGGTACTTGTAGAAATTTTGAAGGGTAAACTTTATATACTAGCCGGCCACCAAAAAAAACTCGGACCTCCGGCTTGGATCAACGGATATAATACATTGTTTGCCCCTACTCATTTGGTCAACCCTCAAGTGGGGCTGAGATCTTTTGAGAACTTGGGTACTAACCTATGAAAATCGAACCAAAATCTCAATCCTATAAATAGGTAAAACTAAACTCTTTTTGTTAGAAGAATGAATTGAATTCAAGACCTTTAACAAAATAGCAATCTTAAGTGTGGAATGGTTACCATCAAACCACTCCAGCTTGTCTCCCACTACCATATTAGAGCATTTACAATGGAAAAACTCTCTCTATTTCTCTCCACTCTCACATCATCATTCACCATTTTTTTTGCATCAGGCCAAATTACTTGCAATGTTATCATCACTTAGCCACGTCTCTTCATTTAATTTACACTATTCATCATTTTTACTTAAAAATTTATATAAATTTAATAAAATGTGCATCGACAACATAAACAACGACACACTTTATTAAAATAAAAACAAAACACATATAATTGATATAAAAATTAAAAAAGATAATTCAATGCTAGAAATTAAAAATTATTTCCTGTGCAAATTTCTTCCATTAGATCGTCCAGCAGGGTATCATAGAGGAGCCGCCACGTCGTGTCGAGTGACTTCATTTTCGATATGTGCCTGAGTAAATGCAACGATTCCCATTACATCGCCATTAGCATATTCACGAGTTTGGTGAGAGATTCAATTTTCAAGAGTGAAATGAGAATAAGATGAGAGTGAATTGAGATAGAATGAAATTTGAAAAGTAGTGAATTTATAGAAGAGTTGAATAAAAATTGAAATTGAAAAAAAAATTAGAAAATTGAACCCCCCCCCCCCCCCCCCGAGCGGCACGACGAGGCACTGCAATGGGGTTTGCTGCTCGCCCGCACCGCCTGCCCACCCTGACCCTTGATACAGCATAAGGGAGAGCCACATAAGGCCTAAGGGAAAGCCACACCCTAAAAGCTAGCTGATAAAGTGGGAGAATCCTTGGCTATATAAACTCATCACCAAGTCCCCCATTTAACCGGTGTGGGACAATCAAATCAGGCCGTATCAACCCTCTATGTTCGGCCCGCGAAATTTCTCATCTCCTACGAAAGATGCCGCCTCTTTTGCTAGAGAGGCCGGAACCCCAGGATCAATTCCAAGCAATGGGTGGCGACCTTGCAAAACACATTTGTTAACGCCTATTGATGAAATATTAGATGGAATGCCCCTTATAATGCCCTCCCTTGATATCTTCTTGAATTTACACTTTTTGAAAACTGTGCAAAATCTCACAACTTTAAATTGATTTTATTTACAAATTGGTATAGAAATAAAAGGTACAACTGACACATTTGAAAACTACATCAAAGATTTTACAAAATAAGAAGTGATAAGAATATTTTATTTTTATTAAATCATCACAAGTTACTGGAGGGCCGTAATAGTAACAACATAAATCATTTTGGGATAGAGGGAGTATAGTTATATTAGAAGTTTTTTTCCCAACCTGCCTCCACATCTCTTAAAAGTCTAAAATATCCTTGGCAGACAAGCAATAGATATTTTCCACATGCCAACCAACTGAAAATCTCAATTCTTGCTACCAAGTCTATAAGGGTCCATTTGGTATACGGAATTGATGGAATTGGAATTGAAATTCCATGGGATTCAATTCCATAAAATTGAATTCACCAATTCCAATTCATATTTTGCACTACAAATTCCAAATCCACATAATTTTTGTGCTACCAAACACTAGAATTGGAATTGAAGTCCTCAATTCCAATTCTATAGTTTGAATTCTGTGTACCAAATGGGATCTAAGATCATTTGGACAAGTTTCACTGTATATCGGTTGAACATGAATGTTCTTTCCGAGCAATGAATAAGTAACACAGTAACCTCTCCCGCTACTGCATTCGTTCCATTGAAATACAAGAACTCATCACATTATGATTTTTATATGACATGAAACAACTATGACCAAAGTCCACACTCAGCTAATAAACTAAATCTCTGTTTTTCATGCTGATACCACATGACTATGATCTTTGGCATCAAGACTCTACAGTCTACAATGTGCTTTCTTCAAAGGAAAAAACGATCACAGAAACGAAAATTGTATCCCCTAAATCAAAGTGTCAAATGCAATGCATATAGTGGATGTAGTATATCCAAATGTAGAAATTCAATTGAATTTTACTCCCTCCATCCCATAATTTTCTTCTTTGTTTGATTTGGCACAATTTTTAATAAAGTGGAATGTGATAATTTTTTTGGGACACACTGAAAAGGAAAGTAAGACAATTAATTTGCGACGGAGGGAGTGTGATTCTTATGATTTGATGACTTAATTACCCAGAAACCTAGTTAGAAATAAAAAAAGAATTGGTGGGCAGCAAGTATGAAGACAACAGAGCCCTTACGACAACGAAGTCCCGATATAACTATTTTAAATGCATTTTTAAAATTTTAATACCAGTAAAATGAAGAAGAATAATCATGGCATAAAGCTGTAAGGTACTAAAAACATTTTGATTGGTAAACAATGAGTCAACTTTGAGAATGCAACAAATCATTATACTCTAAGGTCTAAGATATTATGAATGTATGATAGAGCATACAATCCATATCCTCCCCCGTTCTGTTGTTTGACTTGGCACAAAGATTTAAGAAAAATGAAAAAAATGATTGAAAGTGATCCAAATGAAAGAATAATATGAGCTACAAAAACTTTTCTAAAAGTAGAAAGTGGAACCAGAACCATCGTTCAACACTTTATAGCAATAATACATAACTGGCACTAACCAGAACCACTCCAAGCAAAGCTGTGAGACTAGGGGTCCATTCCGTTCAACTTATATCATGTTATCCTGTTATTGTGTTCCCTACCATATTTTTTTGTGCAGGTTGAGCCGGGAGTCTCTTGGAAACAGCCTCCCTACTTTCGAGTAGGGGCAAGGTCTGCGTACACACCCTCCCCAGACCCTACTGTAGTGGGATTCAACTGGGTTATTGTAGTTGTTGTTGTTATTAAAATTAGATTACCTCAGACCAGATCCAATCAGACCACAACAAAAATAGCTTTAAATATAAATTCAATAGAAAATCATGTCAGATTGGACCAAGTCTTCAAGAAATCAAAACTAAAATACTAAGAACTCTAATAGGAAATAACTGATAAAAAAACACTAACAAAGTCTAATTGTGTTTTAACACGCTTGTAAACTAGGTATGATAAAGCCTAAGCAATCACATTATTGTGATTGTTCATCAAACTGTACCCTCTCTCCCTCTACCTCTCTCTCTCTCTCTCACACACACACAGATATGACAATAGTCACAATACAGTCTTGTGTTACATTTGACCAATCATACTCCTAAAAGATATTGACAAGGGTGATGGTGACTCAATTGAGGCACCATGAAAATCAGGGAAAAGTTATGGCAGAAACATGCGGACATGTAGTAATTCCAAGACTTGTTTGATTAACTTTCTTGGGATGTCATTCATGACACCCAGGTGCCACTTGATCTTCCATTAAATTACATCTATTTAATCAAATTACATCTATTTAATCATGCAATTAGGTGGTTCAACAAATTGACTTATGTTTTATATTTTGAATGTGTTGCGCTATTTTCTTAAAAAAATGATTATGCACATTAGTTAAAATTATATTTCAATGTAGGAGACTTATGAATCATTCATTTTTCTCAGATCGTATATAAATCACATTGATCGCAAAATACAGCAATATTATATTCTTACCCTGCAGTTTTCACCAAAGCAAATAAACGAGGGTGGAATGTTGTTTATGTTGCAATGGCTGTTAACTCTTTGTCCCACTTGAATCCGGCCATCTCTGCCTCCCTAGAGATCTCTTGACACTTTGCGAACCGCCCAGAAGAAGAATAAATCTTCATCAAGTCCCGATATAGGTCAAAAGTTGGAGCGAAGCCAGCCTCCTTAAGTTTAGAGAAATAGCGGGACGCCCTTGAAAGATCATTCAAAGCAACAAAGAGCTTTATAACTACACTATACGCTGGAAGATCAAAAAGGCAATTTGCAGCTTCCATTTCCCAAACAACTTCCAAAGCCTCACGGTATTTCTTTGCCAAGTAACGACTGTGAATCAGGGTAGTGTACATGACTACTCCAGGATCACGCACCGAACTCTTGAACCATGCATATAATCCCTCAACCAGTTCAAATTTCCCCAACCGTGAGCAGACTTTCATGATAGCCGTGCAGTCTTGCTGTTTCAGATCGAGATCGTCTCTTTCTGCAAGCTCCTCCAGCAACTGCAGTACAACTATTTTATTGTAACTATTCTTCCCAAATTTCAGAATCAATTGAGCATACAACCCGGCATCCAGCATTCTTTTACCATCCCTTGCTGATGAGAGAAGCTCCAATGCAAGTTTCAGACTTCCCCCTTTAATGCACCCCCTCAGCTTTGCCTCAAACACACCACGGCTCGACATGTTGGTGAACTTATTGAAATGAGATGAAATTTTCAGCTCGTGTGACATGGCCAAGACCTCAATAGTCGAAGCAAGGATCCGGTCATCCGGGAACAAATGAGGTTGCTTCTCTGCCCAACAGAATGTCTGTAGAGCTCGAGCGGGAAGGCCAAAATGACCCAGCTCACGGACGGTCATTGACAAAGAACCTTTTCGAAGAAATGGGCCCCATTTATCGAGAACTGCAGATACATGTTCCTCTTCTGAAAGACCTTTTATTTCCTTAGCCAATCCAAGCAAAAAACCTGGGTCCTTGTACATACGCTTTGTTATTGATTTCCTAGCAGCAGAAACGCCATTTTTTGCAGCAAATGTCTTTGGGTTAGGAAGACCAATAGGTCGAATCTTGTGAGGAAGAGGGAGAGGGAGGGGTCTTTTCCTATTCAAATTTCCAGGCTTCTGAGGAACCCTCCCTCTGAAAAGGGATGAAATGGCTGCAATCTCATCTGATTCCCATTCGTTTCCATCATTGTAGTCGATCTCATCCTTTCTTTGTTGTTCTTCTCCTTCCTCTTTTAACTTATCACCATCATTTCCAGCTTGGTTCTCTCGATCATGGTCATCAGCGGCAATATTATCACAAGGAGTCTCAGCTGGGATTGGTTTCAAATGGGACCTGTATTCATTCTCAAAGACTCTGTGGAGCCTAAAATCAGGTTCTGGTGGGAGCTTTGGACGCCGTGGATGACGAATGTTCTTAGGAGATCTTCTATTGCAAATTCTGGTTGAAAAATATTGTGTCTTTATAGAAATTCTCTCCCCTCTACTATTCCCTTTGCGCCATAAACTGGAATGTGAAGAAGTCTGCCCAGCTCTTGCAAAGATTCCGACCAGGATTGGGTCGATAGCGTGGGCGCTTACAAATAGAGCATTTTCCATTTGAAAGATATCAGAACAATTGATACAGCTTCTAATGAGCACTAACCTGTGAGCATTTCATCGAGCACCTGGTGGGCGTCCCTATTTGGTGACCGCTCCAAGCCTACTCCAGAATTCTGGGCTTCTGCAATTGTCTGATGGCGATTCAGATATCAAAATTTCATAACATGTTATGGCGAACACTTTGCCGGATGAAATTTTCAGTATTTCATATACTCCCACTCATTAATCATGCGCTTCAAGCTGCACAAAGATACTCCGTAAATAGTTAGGGGAGTACTCCAAAATTTAAAAAAGTTATACGGAGTTTGCAAAAAAAAAGGAATTAGCATGGTACCGAACTAAACCTTAATAGTACCGTACCGTTTCGTCTATTTTGAAATGGATTTGATTTTTTCATCACGAACCGCTCTCAAACGGGACGGGACCGTGATACAAAAATTAAATACCAGTAATCCCGAACTGTTTAAAATTCCATATATTTTGTAAAAATTATATTGGGCTATTAAAGATTAGGCATTTAATATCACTAATTTAAAATTTAAGTAGTTTTATTAATTTATTTATTTTCTAGGATAAAGACCTTAGTGCCCAAAACCCCTAAATAGCCTATGTTGCCATTCTAGGCTTACTCATATGCACTACAAAGTAAAAATGAATTTACTCCTAAATTACAAATTAGCCTCAAAAATCAAAATAGGACAGAAACAAAACCGAGCACTCAAATAGGACAGAATTCAAAAGGCAGAGATTGAAGCCTATGAAATTTATTGTGACTGGCAGTAACTTATGTTTTTTGGCTTTAGTATGAATATAAGTGACTTATGGATTGACATTGCGCTTTTTAATTGTTTTCAAGTGTCCATGCCGATTTGAAATCAATACATTTTTTTAAATAAATTTGTGCGCTTTTATACATAATTATACTTTTATTTTAATATTCTTTGAATAATGCATATTTAATATTTTTGGCACGGTTTGAGCATGGGTACGGTAGTGTACCGTTCCGTTTTAAAATGGAATGGTACCGAATGGTTTTAGGGTTCATCCCGTACCGGTACCGAACCGTTTAAATAAGAGCAGTTCGTGATAGGTTGCGGTAGTATCACGGACCGTTACAAACCGCGCCCACCCCTATATTTTATGTTTATGTATTTAAGTGTATAAATAGTCTTTTAGTTTTTTAAAATGGTCAAATAGTTCTTTTGTTCAAATAACCAGGGTTCTTCATCAATCTAAGACTGGACCGAACCGGACTGACCCGGACCGGATCGAATCTGAAATTGAATAAAATTACACACCGAAGAATCGAAGACCAGACCTAAATATATTCGGGTATGGACCGGACAGTACCGAAATACTTAAGACCAAACTAGTTCAGACCGAATAAAAATACATATCCTTTAATTATTTTGATCAATTAAATATATTTTAGGCTTTTTACTCTATACCGTTCAAATAGAAAAAAATAGGCAACCTAAAAATAGATACACAATATGAACAACATCTATGTGGAATCATAAAAACTAATGTGAAACATTTTTTATTTTTTTAAAATTACTTAATAAAAAAATCTTTTTTAATTAAATAAATTAAGATATCTATTAAAATAGAGTATCAAAGTGTAAAATGAAACTTAAAAAGTAGAGTTTTAGAATTTAGGTCTTTTAAATTCAGTAGGGTTATTAGATCAATTCGATCAGATCGGTCCGGACCTAAATCATTTCGGGTTAGGACCTGACTGGACTGAAACCGAACACCTAAATTTTCTGGACCGAAGACTGACCCAAAATCCATGAAGTATTAGTCCCTATATTAGAAAATTTGTAAAATGTACATGTGCCTATTATGAAAAGACATTAATTATGTAACAGTAAAAAAAGATAATCTTAAATTTCAGTTGTGATGTGTAACTTTGAACCATAGTACAATATCTTCTATAGTGATACTCTGTATTTTTTAATCGTAGTACAATGTCCTACGTGAATTTGACATTATTCTATTTTTCAATTTTATTTTAAAGTAAAATCTGTGAGAAAATAGTTAGAAAAAGTTCATCCATTGCCTTTACTACGAAGACAAGGGTAATTTCATGAGATAAATTTCTTTTTCTGTTACATGCTTCATATTTTCACACAATACATCTATGTTTTGTGTGTTATACATTTTCCTTAAAGAAAGGACTAATTATGCATCAGTTCTTTGACTATAAAGACTATTTTACAACTTTTGAAAGTACATGGGCTATTTACCTACTTATGAAAGACTACACGGATTATTTGTGCATTTAAATCATTTAAAAAAGACACACCAAACTGATTTTTCTCGAACCCTAATTGTTTAAAGTGTAGTTTTATAATTGAGTAAATTTCATAATTGATCCTTTTAAACAGAGGGTTTGTCATGTTTAGTCATCTATTTATCAGATATTATCTCCATAGTTCTTCTTTTCTGGGTACCTTTTCACAATTGATCCTTTAAAACAGGAGGTTTGTCATAATTGATCATTTAAAACAGGGGGTTTGCCATATTTACTCATATATTATCAGATATTATCTCCATAGTTATTCTCTTCGACCATATGTTCAATAACAGACTCTGATTTTGACTTGACAGACAATACAATAATAATGACTATGATTGTAGATTAGAATTATGACCAGAGATGATATCTATAGACTATGGTTGGAGTAACAGTGACTCCAGTTGACAAACAACACATCAGCAGCGAATAGTCACAAGTAGTGAATAGGCACTTCCTTTCACCTCACTCACAAATGTCACAAGTATTCTAAAGAAGCCTTTTAGGTTAAGTTACTTAATGAGTAATGACACATTCATACCCCTAGTCATATTAATCATTGAGACTAGGCTTCTCTAGATTCTTTATACATCTCTGCATCTCCAAAGTTCTATAAGAAATCTCCATAAATTTTTATAATGTTTAAAAAAATTAGAGAACCCCACACATCTTTCAAGGGACTCAATATTCTTACGTACTTATAAAAATTTCTATTATCCTTTAGAAAGCTCTAGAATACTTTAAAGAGAGTCGTTGTTTAAATTGTAGTTTAAAATTTGTTTAAAACGTTCTGAGAAAATTTTTAGTTTAAATGTGTTAAGCGGTTTGACTATTTCAATTTGGGGGCCGTTCCGTTCGACTTATTTTTCAACTTATTACTTATTTTTATTAAAATTAGATCACACCATGTCAGATCAAAAACAACTTTAAATATAACTACAATCAGATCAGACCATGCTAAATTAGGCTAAACCATACCAAATTTTCAAAAAATTAGATGTGATAGGCAAACGAAACGCAACCCTAGAGTAAAAAAATGTGTAAATTATCATCATATTAGGCATCTATTGAGATGTTTGTAATAGTAGAGGTGGCACGAGCTGGTTCAGATAGATTTTCATAAGAACCAACCTTGACTTGTTTCTAAAATGAACAAAGCGAGGGGGATTTGATTGTTGAAACAGTAGGTTGGACATGCCTGAATCCAAAAATAAGCCAGTTTCTTAGCTCATGAATGTTTTTCTATTGAATCATGATTTTATATTATTCAAAAATAAGTTAATTGTTGGAGAATAATATGCAATGTGACCTCTTACCCTTATTTACACAACAAAACTCTTAACTCATCTAACTATGCTTGATGACACCTTAATAAAAAGCTAAGAAACTGGCTTAAAGCCCACCATACTCATTGGGAGAAGAGTTCGAAGTTCACCACCAAAATAGCATTTTGACTAGTACCAAAAGGAAGTTAGACTAGTACGTATTGACATTTAAAAAAAAAAAATAACCACAAGTGGGTTAAATGGGCAAGTGTCATCCGTTGACACTGACGCCAGTGTCAACAGAATCTTGTGGAAGTTAGAGTGTTTACAACAATAAGAAATCTGCCCTGCCCCAACTCTTACCACATCAGCATTCCATTAATTTTTCCATTCCGCCCCAAAATCCTGTAACAATATCACCCCATTGTTTTTAACAGGATCCGTCCATTTTTTTACATTATTCATCACTTTCTTTATTAAAAACAACATCAATATAAAAGATGAAATACACCAAAACATAATTAAAATTAAAAAAAGAAAAACAATAAAAAAAAGAGGAGAAATATGAAGAGAAGTTAAGAAAATAGGTAAATTTAGAGAGATGAGATTGGATGGATTGAAGTGAAAGATGTGTTGAATTTATAGGGTTAAAAGAAATAAAACATTAAAAAAATAAAAATAAAAATAAATTTCCAGTGCGGCGGAGCTCCTGCAGTGGGCGGCCACCGCGATTTTCAGCCGCAAAACCAGCACGGCTTAGCGCCGCGTTTGGGGCGAGGAGCCCGGCGAGCGGCGCAACGGAAGGGGGGCGAGTCACGAATTTGCCTGGGATTCCGTGCAGCGCGGCGGGATGGGCATGGCTGTAAATGCCCTTAGACCTATGATAGAACTTCTCTAAGCCCCTCAACCTCTTTCTTCTCAAGACTTGCTCTTTTTAAACTTCTCACTCTGTTCAGCCAAATCAATTTCACTTTCTATAATTTGTGTTGTGTTCATACAAATTCAATGACACAATTTACTGAAAAACAAGATGGGATTTCTTACCTGATATATTAAAAAGGGGGGATTTTAGTACTAAAACAAAAGCAAACTCCGGAAAATGACAAGGATGGAAATGAAAGTCCCTCCAAGTAGACAACATTGAAGAGCCACTTCCCTCTGTCTGGGACTCAAGAACCAGAGGTACTGCAGTGTCAGCTCCAGAATGGATTCACCATCTAGAAAATATACCTGAAAGTCATATAATATGCACTATAAAAACTAAAAAGCATTAAAAATAATTGCAACAAAAGCTTATGGTAGCATATGGTAGTGTGAAGACATACCGGCAGGCTGTTGAGAAGTGCAAGTGCGAGAGAGACGTGAAACACAAACATCAAAAGCTTTTCCAGAGCGCTTGGGAAATGGGCACCAAATTTACTAGGCCAACGAGGCTGATATGAGGTCAGATGAACTGAACCTAACATTGCTTCCAGGTCACCCATAAATACAAAACTCTGAGAGCAGCCCTTGCCGCCAAGATCAGAATTCTTATCATCTAGGAAATGAGCTGTTTGAGACTTTTGACATCTTGGAATAAAAGGCCTTAGATATGTGATCTCCACCCATGCAACGCCAGGCAATAGGAACGGAGCAAGGCAAGATTCTTCCTGCATTACATCATCAATGCATTTCATAATTATATTCTTCAGTGGAAACTAAAAACAAATAAACAAACTTTATCTTGATTTATATCATGATCTGATGAAATTTCAGACTAGAATTTTTGTACCTGTGAGCACGGGCAGCTGCTTCTATTACTAGAAGCCTTTTCCCACCCGCCTCCACATTTCTTAAAGTCTAAAATATCCTTGGCAGACAAGCAATAGATATTTTCCACATGCCAATCATCTGACAATCTCATTTCCTGGCATGGCGTTTCTACGAAGTCTATAAGATCATTTGGACAAGTTGTTTCATTGTCTATCAGTTGAACATGAATGCTCTTTTCAAGCAATGAATCAGGAACACAGTAACCTTTCCGGCTACTGTGTTTATAAGCACTGTAATTTCTTTGGTATTCCTTCCCAGTTAAGGGAGTACCAATCTGAAGCCACTCTTGAACATCATTAATGCGGATACCATCGGCAGAATGGATCACATCATAGGAAGACAGGTATCTAGACAGTGGTGATGTTGATGCGACATTTAAAACCTATCAATGTAATTAATATACCATTACGCACACCTGATGATGATAATATGGGAAACATGCGTGCATAATTTGGAAATTTATGGCATAAAATATTATATGCTGGATTACCATGGGTCCTTCACCGTGTCTGTAAACAGGAAACAAGACTAATGGTAGGATGAACAATGAAATGGCACAAATAGCACAAAGCTGCAAAAGGTTCAAAGCGAATTATTTGAAATGTGGCAGAACAACAAACACTTGCATATTCATGAACATATATAAACAATATGCTCTTACTCCTGCATTATGCCAAATTCCAGCACAGTATATACGAAGAGCTGCGGGTTTCGGTAATGCCTGCAACATCTCATGATTAAATGCTACCAGAGCACCTGGAAATATTACTGCCAAAAACACAGCAATGTACACCATTTGTATGCCCTCACTGCGGTGCAGAAAGGTGGTATCTAACTCATCTTTTGATAACACATAATCTTCAATACAGTACTGTATAGAATAGGAGGATAGCTATTTTGAGATCAATGCTTGACTTGGCACCACTTCAGTATTACTATATAGTTTATTACGGGTAATAAAAAATGCAAAATAAACTATCAAGCATCTAGTTAGGATAATCATCTGTTTCATATCATGCAACTTGGTTTTATTATTATTCAGGACCGTACGAAGTACCAACTACAATAGAAAATGCTTTGTTTTGTAATGAAGGTAAGAACTCAAAACACCATTTTGTTTCTAAGCACGAAACATCATAAAATTTTACGTTTATTAGAAATACATATTTCCTATTATGATGTAACAAAAAGTGGTAACATTAATAAAAGTCCCGAGATGAGAGTTAAGCATAAGAACCGGAAATTGAATGATAAAAATGCATACAATTTTCAAAAATAGCTGCACATTCTAGAAGGCAGGACACCACAATGACATCATTGCTTAGTTCACAATCATCAACATCCTTCTAGATAACTATATATACAGCATGGTATTAGAGTCTAGACCTTTTCCCAATGTAAATAGTATCATTTCCAGACATGTATACTTCAATCAACTTTCTTTGGAAAACTCCTCAAATACCTTTCTGCATAACAACCTTATTGTTCATTTCAATACCCTTACTGCAAACGTTTCTCTGGAACACTCGTCGTCATTTAAACACTTCTGTATACTAGAACACCTTTCAGCATAACAGCCTTATTATTCATTTCAATACCCTCACTCCAACAAACTCTTAACTCCCTCTGGCCTCTTTTTGCACAAAAAAGAAACTGAGTCGACATCCCAAACAGTATTAGACATTTAAGGTGTTGTGGCGAGTAAAGTCCACTCGTGGTACCGGACCTTTGAGTGTTTTTTCAATTAAGTACCTAAACTTTATTTCTTATAAAAAAATACCTGACATTCACAAAATCTTTCAAGAAAAATACATGAGTCGGTTGCAGGTCACAAGCAGGTCATTTTCATGACGTGGCGTCTGAGTTGGTTTCCAATTCATCTTTTTCTTTTTTTCTTTTTCTTTTTTTCTTCTTTACTTTACTTTTCTTTTTCTCTTTTTTTTTTCTTTTTCTCTTCTTCTTCCGCCCCTCTATGGCCCTGCAACTACCTTCTCCACCTTGCCGCCTCTGAGTCGCCTCCATCGCAGCGCTGCTGCCGCCTCCTTTTTATTTTTCTCTTTTCCTTTTTTCTTTTTCCTTTTTTTTCTTTTCCTTTTCTACTTCTTCTTCCTTCCCCCATCAACCCGAGCTCCACCGCCAACCGAGTTGCCGCCGCCCTAATTTGCCATCACTGCTGCTACCGCCTTGATTCGCATGAAATTGATGGAGCTGGAGCGGAGGAGGGAGCTTGACGTCGCACAAAATTGACGGAGCTGGAGCAGAAGAGTGAATCGGCGTCGCACGAAAATGACAGTGCCAAATTGGAGGAGGATAAGGGATACAGGGCGGAGGGATCTGGAGCGAGTTGGTGTTGTACGAAACTGATGGCAATGGGGAGGAAGAAGAACTGAAAAAGAGAGTTGCAGCGACACGTTGGAGGAAAAAGTTGCAGCGGGAAGGAAGAAGAAGAAGAAGAGAAAAAGAAAAACAAAAAGAAAAAGAAAAAAAGGAAAGAAAGAGAAAAAAGAAAAAGAAAAGAAAGAGAAAAAAGGAAGAAAAAAAAAGAAAAGCTGAGCTGGAACCAACTCAGTCTCCATGTCATCAAAATTACTTGTTTGTGATCTGCAACCGGCTAATGTATTTTTCTTGAAAGATTTTGTGAGATTCAGGTATTTTTTTTGATAGAAAATGACATTTAGGTACTTCAATGAAAAAACACTCAAAGTTCGAGTACCATGAGTGAAATTTACCCCTGTTGTGGTAGGGCTAGGAACATTGGTCACAATAGTAGCAACAGTGCAACACTAATGTTGGTGGGAAGGGAATTATGTGGATTAGTTCCCTTGAAATTTAAGAAGTCATCATATTATGATTCTTGGATGACATGAAATTTGAATATTTGATCTGTTAACAGCAATGTTTTGCTAATACAACACCAACTAAACTAAAGCAGAACATAAATGCAACAATTAGTGGACAAGAAACTTCCTGTGTCAGGAAATATCTTAAACTTTATTATTAGCGAGTAGTAGAGTGCACTAGACTTATTTAATGACATAAAATTTAGTGGTTTGCACTTTTTTTTTAATATTTGATACACACACAATGATAGAATACCAATTAGACTGTGTTAACTTTAATAAAATAAATTAGTCTGATTTTATATTATTAATATCCATGTTAAAGGTTTAGTTATGATTTTAGGGATTAGTTTAAGTGCAGCATATGTTCAGGAGATATGGATTCAATTATTTATTACAGAGTATTTTATTATGAGTGAATTCTCAAAACGTAATAAGGTGTTTTCCCAAATTAGTCCTTAATAAGCATTAATTACCAACGTGGTCCTTTATAATTTAGATTTATTCCCTTAATGGTCCTCTGTCGAAAATGCCTATTACATGTCAGTCAAATAGAAGGTATTTTGGTATTTTCTATCATCTAGACTTAAAGTATGTTCTCGAAATGCTCCTTTGTAATTAAGTACTTCTCCAAACTGATAATTTCTAAGTAAATGTTATCCCGAAATAGAGTCCATGAGCCTACTTGGTGTGGGCCCGTTCCTCTAGCAGCCACCCTCTTAATTTGAAAAGAACATTTTGAGAACTTATTCATTGTTTAGATGATGGAAAATACCAAAATACACTCCATTTAATTGTCATTTAATAGGCATTTTTTATAGAGGACTATTTAGAAAATACATCCCAATTACAAAGGACCACGTTGGTAATTATTGTTTATTGAGGACTAATTTGAGAAAACACCTCATTAGAAAAGACCATTTTGGGGATTCACTCTTTTATTATTTTATGTATTAGATACTTAGTTACTGATTGTGGGTGAATTTAAGGGTCTATTAAGAGTTAGTTTCCTTCATCATGGGTCCCTATCGCAATTAAATAGAGATATTCAATTGTACTGCTACTCTATGTATATGTTGGCTACCTTTAAGCTAGAAGATTATCAGAATACCAGTCTTTTTAAGGAGAATCCTTGATTATTGAATAATCCTTAAGGTGAGATCCTTAATTGAAGGTTGTTTAAGAGAGCATTAGTGTTCTTAATTATCTTACTTTCTTAAATTACAGGTTTAGTATTTATCATACACACACACACACATATGGACACACACACAACTGTCTCAAACAAATATCATGTTTATTGCATTAAATTCGTGAATTGGAAAACAGTAAGAAATCCTAACCTTGCAGCAGCAAGAGCATGTCCAAGTTCGTGCACAGATACAGATATAATGGTAGATAGACACAAGTATCCAATGCCAGCAAAGGAGATGGTCAAACCTGAAGGCTACAGAATAAGCAACATACATGAAGCTAAAATAAGTGACTTTAGCAAAAGAGCAAGTAATAAAAATTGCAGGTAACAGTATACTTCTCTTGTAACACGATTATCAATGTCAATAATTATCAACGACTACTATGGAGCCCAGCTATCACAAAAAATGAACATGACTGAAGTCATTGTATAATGTACAATATAGTTTATGTTCAGCTTAGTTGGTTTCCATATTCAGATATCAACTTACCAAGTCACGAGCACATTATTTCACACCAAGTGTACCAGAAACTAGGCAATACAGAATTACAGATCCACTGAACAGTTGAAATATTTTTCTTCTCATAAGCAGATATAAGTAACCAAGACCCGTGCAATCCATGCAACAACTATGATCAGACTCAGCTAATCAACATCTCTGATTCTTTTGTAGCTGATACTACATGACTATGATGTCTGACATCAAGACTCTACAATGTGCATTTTCAAATGAAAAAACAATCACACAAAAACTATAATTTTATCCCCCAAATCATAGTATCAAATGCAATGCATATAGTTGAACAACATTGATGGATATGGTAGATTCTAGAGATACCAGCTCCAATTGTGAAAATTAATTTTTGGAATGTAACAATACAAATGGTGCCTTTATATATAAGGCATGAATAAAGTAGTACATGGCCATAATGAAAGACTATACATAATGCTTGAGTGGCAAAAATATTCCTCTGAAATAGAGTATGAATCTTATGATTTGATGACTTGATTACCCAGAAACCCAGTTAGGAATAAAAGAAGATTTGGTAGGCAGTAAATCTGAAGAATTAAAGATAACAGAGCTCTGGCAACAACGAAGTCCCGATATGACAATTTTATATGCATTTTAAAAATTCAAAACCAGTATAATGAAGAAGAATTATGGCATAGAGCTGTAAGTCAATGCAAACATTTTGATTGGTAAAAGCAAGTCAAAATTGACAACGCAACAACTCATTTTACTCAAAGGTCTAAGATATTGCTACCTTTGTCCGAGTGAGTTTGTCCAGTTTGACTTTTTGGAGTCAAAACAGGACAAACTTTGATCGCCAATTAAATAAAAATTACAATACATATTAGTAGAAAAAAATTTAAAGAGCTTATTTTATGAATATACAATGTAATTTTTATTTAATTCACCAAACTTTGTCGAGTTTGACTCCAAAAAGTCAAACTGGACAAACTCATTGCGACGAAAAGAGTATGAATTTATGGTAGAGCATACAATCCATAAATATTAAATCCATAGAATGCAATTTTAGTGTTGACAAGGGTAACAAAATGATGGGGAAAAAAGTAAGAGCAATAGCCAATGGTAAATAGAATGAATACGGTTTCGAAATGAAAAATTAGTGGTTTCACAAGACATGGTAGTGAAAATGATATGAATAAGTATAGAGTATTATTTTTGTTATTGAGTCTCATTTACTCTTACTCATTTTGAGATTATCATTAGCAATTTTCTAGTAAAGGATAGGAAAATGATGTACTCTTACATTTTGCTCTTGGCACATGGGAAGCGTATATTATAATTCAAAACCAAGAAGAAAAGGAAAATAAATTGACGCATACATTAGATGGAATGCCAATTAAGGAGCCAGTTAAGAGAGAACTGAATTGGGCCTCTCCATTGTATGGACGCAGAGTTCTACTTAATTCCCAGAGAAGAATCTGACCATAAATTCAAAGAACACAAACCACCTGTTATCAGATTTAACAGCAAAACATAGAGGGGAACAGAAGATGTGTTATCTATTCTCTTTTCGTTTTTACATTGACGTATAGAAACTATAAATCAGAAAGAAAGGGCCAGTTTGGCAATGTTGTGGCTTTTAAGCCACAACACTTGTTGCTATGAAAGTTCATTTGGTAAAATAAAAAACTGATTGCTCTGTTCTCTTCAACTTATTCTTACTACTTATTCTTATTGAAATCAGATCAAACCTGACCAGATTAGATAAGAAGCAGCTTTAAATTTAACTTGAATTAGATCAGACCAGATCAGTCCTTAATAAAAATCAGACCAGATCAGAGTATGACACCTTAAGAAAACCATATGAGATCCAATCATATCAGACGAAGAGAACAACTTAGCTTGAAAGTTACTGTTAAACAGCTTAAAAGTCAATGTGGTCAAAAGCTTATTTTAGACCACCACACGGCCACACCCAACTTTTGACAATTTATTAGTTTCTTAGCTTAAAAATACTCACTCGATAAATATCAAACATCTCCATATTCAAGACATTTTATATACTCCCTTCGTCCCAAAGTAAACTTTGTGGTTTGACTTAAAGAGTTTAAGGGAAGTGCTGAAAAGTGAAAGGTTTATGGTTCAAATATGTTGAGAGTTTAGATAATAAGGAAGGATGTGATCCACATATTCCACTCCTCAAAAGGAAAGTGTCAAGTTACCAAATAGACCTTTTTCCACCACTCCATAAACACTGTTTATTTATTTACCCTTCAACACTTTACAACACTAATACAAAACTAGCACTAACCAGAGTCACTCCAAGCAAAGCTGCAAGACTAAAGCCAACCCCCATGGCAAACCAAGATCTCAAGTACCTGATGAACAATGCTATTATGAGCTCTGATGGGAAATAACTGACAAAAAAGCACTAACACGGTCTATTTGTATTTTAGAGGGTGTTTGGGAGAGTGGTGAGTTCTGGGAAAAGCATAATTGCTAAGTCAAAAGCATAAAGTAGTTAGCTTTGCTGAAAATCACTTTTAGAGTTCAATTTACGCTTGAGAAGCTATAATCCATATGCTAAAGCAGATTCACAAACACTTAAAATTGTAATTTCATGAAGTAGAATAAGCTCAAATGTTGTTCTCTAAACCGTACATTGCTCCAACATTTGGTACTCTCTCCCTCCTCTGTTTCTTTTTTGGGCCGTCTCTAATTAAACTTCACATTTCCTTTTAAAGAAAGAATTGTGCTGTCTATATGATTTCAGACTCATAAATTGTTGCCATACAATTCCACACATTTTACACTCACAAAAAAAAAGCATAAACATTTAATTGGGGACGGAAAGGGTAATAAATAACACTGAACTAATCAACGAGCTGAACAATCTCAATTATGCCCAGAACATTACAACAGAAAATCTGTACCTAGAGTATCGCCGTCCGAATACAAAGAGGGGTTCGTTCCACAAAGAGAACTTGAAGTCACAATACCTATGAGGGTTAAAATTTCATTTAAGAGAACACAGAAACAGGGAGGTAACAGGCATCCGGCGAGGTACGACCGGGAGAAGATTACAGTGCTTACCAGCAAGAAATGGTGTTGGAAAGGCGATGCGCGCGCAAGGGCAAAAGAGTTTCATTGCTTTGGCCTCCGCGAGACCTCCTCGTTCTCCTTCCTTCCATCCCACACTGAAATTGGCGCCCAATGTGTGTTATATGCACTACTCCATATTTATTCTTTCACTCTTTCGGGTTTGAAGGTTTTAGTGTAGGTGACAGAGCGCAGATCCATTGGGGTTCAAGAAAAACGTTTTCAGTTTTAACTTTTTTTAAAGAGATGGTGATACTCTTTGACCACAAATTAAATATTATCTAAATAATTAAACGTTATAGAAAATTTTATATCAAAACTATATCCAAACATGAACACAATTATGTTTAATATACATTACAATTCAATATAATTTGCTCATAATATACGGTCAAAGAATATCATCGTTTGACTAAAAAAGTCAAAACAAAAAATATTTTTTGAACTAGATGGAGTATATGAATTGTTTGTCACTTTGTCATGATTTTAGGCCAAAATGGTGTAATAGAAAGTCAAATCAAATAGAGAATAGCTTAAATCCAATTTATCCAGAAAATGTATACATTTAAAATTTTAATTTTGGTATGTAAAAACTACATCAAATTTTACAAAATAAGATTACAATAAGACTATTATTTTGTCAAATAAAAAATGGAAAAATGATTAAAGCATAGCAATGCGGACAAAATAGGAACTCTAATAATATAACACTAAACAAAATCGGAATGCCAAAAAAAATTACAATGCAAACACATAATGCTAAAATACATTGTAAATTTCTAGAATTCAATGTCAAGTTGCATACCACATTCCCAACCACGTACAAAAATGTCAAACATAAATGTAAAAATGACTCTAATCTCTAAAATCTAAAATTTTGTCCATTTACCCTATAAATGAAGCCGTGATTGGTCACTAAGTTGCACCGAGACGGGGACATGGACATATACGGGGACGGGGTTAGAAGTGTGAAATGCCAAAACTTTTTATAAAGGATTTGGGTGTGGGGACGCTCCCAAGTACCCTACTGAGGACGTTTCGGGAACAGAAAGCGGCACTTATTTGAAGAATCCGTGTAACATAGATTGGTCAAAACCCATGATGAATTTGAGAAGAGCAAGGTTAGGGCTCTAGTGTTATGCGAGGGAAGGGGTGGGAACGCGACACTGCACCGGGGAAGGTGTGGGGATCATGGGATGCGACACTACCTTAGGGAAATGAAGTATAGAGAGAAGGGGTGAGATGTGGCGTGAAGGAAGGAAGACAAATATGTAACATATTACTACTCCGTATATTTTAGTAAAACTTCTATCTTTTTGTTCTGGTTAGTAAATATTTTAGCAAGTGATAGAAATAGAAAAAGAAAATTTTCAAAATTTGGTCATGGTGTGATATTATTCAAACAGAGTCTAAGATGCACTATGACTAATTTTTGAAGAGGTTTTGTATGTGGTCATGTATTTCATACATATTTATTGATTAGATATAATATTGTGTTTATCAATGCACACTATGCTCAAAATAGTAATGAAGTGTGTAATTGCAAATTATACTAGTGAATAATAATTGTATGTAGACATTGTTTTTTGATTTTTAAAAGTATAAACTTGGTTTGTTGACATGTGCGCTCACAATTTTGATACAATTATACTTCGTAGTTTGTTTGAGAATGAAAGTTTTAAGCAAGTTACCATTCATGCATCTTTTTTTCCTAAATATCCATCTCTTGGAATTTATTATCATTATTAAGCATTTGTTCCTTGATGCATCAGGAACTCATAACTGTAAATATATTAAACTTTTGTTGAAACATCTGGTATACTATTATACTACATTCGTCCTAAAATGATCTTCTCATCATTATTCACATGGTCAAATTTTATTCACTTTCTTTGCATATTTCCGTTATTTATTTGATAAAATAATATAATAATGTCACCTCTTACTTTTTACTGTAGAACTTTTGATGTTGTTTTAAAATATATAATTTTTATTTTTTAATTTTATATCTATAACCAAACAAATTGAATTAAAAATAATTTCAATCAAACCTCGTAGACCAAACTGAGAAAATCTGTTTAGGATAGAGGGAGTAATTCTTTCTGGATTAGATGACTATATGTACTCCGTATATTGTGCGAGTTTATTATTTCTTTCTTTTTGGCATAGCATTGTGTACCATGTGGATTGCACTCTGCTCCTTTTAATGAAGCATTTTCATTGAACATAGCGCCTTCCACGCACATATTCTGAGTAACTTTGGATATGCAAGTGCTCAAATTTCCATTTGTCACCACAAACATTGAAAGAGATGCATCATCAATGAAGGATGAGATCATCAATTGGAGTTCGCAATCAAAAATGATATGAATATGGTGCGCTCCACTATAAAAGATAGTGCATCGTGCAACTACAAATGCAACAACCAAAACGTATTTGTATATAGACATTTTTTGTCATTTTAAAGAACACATCGGCCATCAACGAGATAAAGGGGCTTGGGGGGAGGGGTTAGGGGGCTAGGAACCATCACTTATAATATAGTTATGCTTGAAGCTGAAGGCAACTCCCAACAAAAATTAGGAGAAAAGAAATAGCAATGGTTATTTGGTACTGTTAGACTTTGCAACATAAAATAAAATACAATAAGGTAGTGTTTGGGAACTAACATTTCTTTTCAACTCTGGCATTTGAATTCTTGAATTTCCAAGTTCCCAAACATACCATGAGGGTATTATACATGGAAAGCTTACTTCTTTGGTCCAATCATTCTACAACATAATTAGGTGCTACAGCCAATATCCGGTCATTTCTTGACGTTTTTGTGGTGGTTTCACCATCCTCTGCTTGTCTTCCTTCATCCACAACTATCAAATGGCCTTCCCTCCGTACCAAACTCTGCAACATTGATCAACTTAGTCACTTGAGAACTGTTTTCCAAGTCCAGGATACATATATACCTATGTAGCATTATTATAATGTAGAGTTTACCTCTATAATGGCTTTCACTTTTGTGAGCTCAGCAGCAGCCTCTTCCATAGAGCTGTAGCAGTTTTTCACATTTTGCTGATTCACATACCACTGGATCAGATCCCGCTGCCTCATTCCTGCTAAACCAGTCCCTGCAATTATAAAAAATTTCGTTCCAGTAAAATCACAAAAATGAAGTACTGCTGTCTTTAAAGCAAGAAACATGGTAACTGGCTGATTCTTCAAACTTGCTGCAATTTAAGCATCATAGTTTAACTTATATGTAGTATTTGTCATAAGAATTTTAGATGGTGTTTCGTCAAAGGAAAGGATTTTTCAGGCAAACCATTTTCCTGATTTATTGTGTTTGGTAGGCAAAGGGGAGGAAAAAAAGTCCTGCAGAATCTTCTTGTGATGAAATTTGAAAAAAATAGTTTTCAACCTCCTTGTAAAGATGTGCTTTGTAGTTTGTAGCACTATTTTGCAAGCATGTAATGTCTACTTTTGAAAGTTACTGACACTTAAGAATATGGGTTTTATGGAGAAAAAATCCGTGAAAATGAACTTCCTCTGTACCAAACACTGCCTTAATGCCAAAACTTGTGATATATCCACCAGCTTTACCTTCTTTCATCACAGTCTCTTCATGCTGCCTTAATCGCAGGACAAGGGCATGAGTCACCTTCTGAAAATATTCATCACTAATGACAAGTTTCTTTCCTTGCTTGCCTGATGCACTTTCTGCAACCCACCCAAATCAACACAGCGAAGAAGATTTGAAAGCTAGTTAAAACAATAAGCAGGATAACAAATTTACTCAAATCACAAAGGTGCTTATTAACACCTGTATGCCCAGAAGGTGGCTCGGGAGTGGCTTCAGGATGAGTTTCACGAGGGCCAGAATTATCTTCGTTTTCAGGAACACTATCATTGCGATCATCTTCTTGGAACTCTGATAAATCAATCTCACTAGATTCAACACTGCATGAACATATGATTTCTAACATCATTATAATCACTGAGTTGCATAAACCAGGACGCACTTAAGTAAATAACTAATCCCAATGGATGTATTGCATATAATTACCTGATAACAGATGTCTTTAAGAGTTTTACTGCTAGTTTTACATAACGTGATTGAACCTATTCACAAAAGCATACAGGGCTTCAGAGGAAAAAAATAAGAAACACACACACACAAAAGGTGCAGGTCTAATAAAAAGTACTCAGCATAGAAGATGTGAACATTAAACTTTTGGCTCACCATAATGTACATTTAGGTTATAGTTTTGGACTTTTGGCGATGAAAGAAAAGTTTCATTTGTTTGCACAATTGCCGTGTTTTATAGAGATTTTTATCTATTTTAAGTTACATACAACCCTTAGATCTCACAATCCAATGCACTTATCCGTTTTAAGTTAACTTATTTCCCAAAATAAGTTTGGATTACAATGTTTGACATTATTTTTAAATGGAACTTATTCAAAATTTGGTGTAGCAATAAAAAATAAAACGTGTATATTTAAAAATGGAGGGGTCCCGTTCACACAGGCCCCATTTGACACTACGGTGCCACTGCGATTTTAGGGCACTTACTGTGCTCCATCGGTAAAATTGATGGTTCCTACCCTCCCTATCTCCCACAATTAAACCCCCATACCCCGGCCCAGCCTGAACCCACCCTCCAACCCCTTTAATTTCATCTCCAAAATATTGTTGACTTTGGGATCAAATAATTTGACTCCAAAGTCAACAAAATTTTGGGGATGACATTGAAGGGGTTGGGTGGTGGGCTTGGGCCTAGCAGGGGTGGGGGGTTTACTGTGGAGATTAGGGGAAGTAGGAACCTACTTTTACAAACAAGCATCCTAGATGCTCCAATTGAAAATGGTGTCATCCGTTGACACTCACTTTGCGTGTCGACACTCATTTTGAGTGTAGACACTCATCTTGAGTGTCAACGGAACATAGCTGATTTAAAAACTACTACATCATAAGATAAGAGGTGACATGACTATAATATCTTATCAAATGAGCAATGAAAATAGGCATAGAAAGTATAAAAAAAAAGTTTGACCCTATTAATGAACAAGGCTTTTATTAATTAGGCTTCTATTTTGGGACAAAGGGAGTGTATATACATACATACATTCACACGCACGCACACACACATATATGAAGGGAAATTGTAATGTCACACTAACAAAAATGACACCAATTCGTAACATCAGTGGTTTTGAGGCACCTACGGTTCTCTGTTCTTAAAATTGATGTTTCATACCCCCCTAAGCCCCCCACCCCCATCAATTTCACCCGCCCCACCCCTGTCCCCACCCCCTAGATCGCCGATTTGGCGGTTGCCAAATTTGCAATCCTGGGGGTGGGGTGGGGGCGGGTGAAATTGATGAGGTGCAGGGATTTAGAGGGGTAGGAACCATCAATTTTACAAATGGAGCACTATAGGTGCCCCAAAACCACTGGTGTCACGATGTTACACCATATATGTATTATGTATATGTATGTGTTTGTGTGGGTGTATAGACGCACACACACTTCTATCAAGCATGGAAAAATTGAGCCCAAGAGGGATTGACTGTGCTGATTGGGTAAGAAGCCAGCATGGCAGACCATCTTCCATGTTAGACATTTCTATTATATTATCGACTAGTTATCCGGTCGCTGCCATGGTGTGGACTGAGGTACCCGACTAGCGACTGTCTTTGTTCCAACATCTAGTCGTAGACTGCATCATTTAATCAATCTAGAGGTTGACTAGTTTAAATTAAACCCGACCCAACCACTTGTAAGAAGAAAATCCTACCTTCTCCGTCAGAATTAAAGTTTAGCAACCTTCCCTTCAAGGTATCATCTTTAGTGATACATTTTAATTTATTTTTAAATAATGCATTACATATTTTGACTTGTCAACTAACCCTAAACTAGTTGACCGACTTATCGACTAGTCTACTAGTCTCCTCTTCAAGGACTCACCTTGACTTGTTGACATGACAACCACGGTGTTGTGTGTATCATTCACTAAGTTATACGCCATTTTTTATAGTGGGTGTAAGCTAGTTATTAAAAGCACCTGAAGATCCAGATAAGCTCGAGCAATTGCCTCTGAAAGCCTGATTAAAGCCTCCAGCTGTCTTACAGTCATGCGATAAGCTACTCGGCTCCCTGGAGCTGCATCTCCACGGCGAAGAGTTACATAAGATTCCACCATTAATTGCCTTGCTTCAGGTGTTAGCTGCATTGTAAATATCATCTATAGCATAAGACTCTGCTCCAAAAGAAATTTGAGCCTAGCATCAAACTTTTTTTAAGAACATGTTAAAAGAATGAACAAGTTTTTCAATACTGAACACTTAACAGTCCAAGATACCTTTGGTTTCAGAGTCTTTGCATATGCCACGTAACGCTTTAATTGTGCAGTAGAAAATGCAGGTGCAAGTGCACTTTCACGTTTCTGATGAAGTCTCACAATGTGATGCGCAATGTGGTAATCCGTCTGATCATCAGGGTCGTCAATCATAACATACACGAGATCAAACCTTGAAAGAATAGCAGGCGGAAGCGCAACGTTGTACTGTAAAAAGAATATTAGCTATGTTGTCACGATAACATGATTTAGAAGATTATTAATTAATAAAGAAAATATTTGGATACGGCTTGGGTCTTTTGACAACAAAAATTGTTCTCATAATATGACAACAGCACCTACAGTGCTTTGATCAAAAAATTGATAGCTCCAAGTCCCCAACCCCCTAGCCCCTCGCCCCCCACCACCCTAAACAGCCCATTGGCTATAGTGGGGTGCTAGGGTGGGGGCAGGGGTTTGGGGGTAGGAACCATCAAATTTTTTATCGGAGCACCATAGGTGTTGTCATGTTATGACAATTGACAACAATTTTTGCTGTCAAAAGAACCAAGCTGTTTGGGATACGGCGGATATTACATCAATAAAATAGTAGTACAACACATTAAAAATTTTACCTTGAGAGGTTTGGTCTTGTCATACCGGCCTCCAAGGGGGTTGGCAGCGGCTAAAATTGATGTTCTAGCATTTAGTGTTGCTTGAATACCAGCTTTTGTAATGCTTATTGTTTGCTGCTCCATTGCTTCATGAATAGCAACCTAAGGATGGCATGTACTTCTACCATAAGATGTGAATCAAATATCAAACAAAAAACATTGCTCAAAATTAATTTACCTGATCTCTAGCATCCATCTTGTCAAACTCATCAATGCAGCAGATACCATTATCTGCAAGCATCAGAGCACCAGCCTGAAATATAAATTTGATTCCATATTTAAAACATCCAAAATGGATCAACTAAAACACGGAAAGGCACATATTAAAAAGCACACAAGACACAAATAGACACCAATCAATGTACATGAATCATAGACCACTCAACATACAACCCCTTTGGATCAAATGGATCAACTACAAGTATATTAAAGAAGTCGGTATATGGGATGCTCAACCTAAAAATGAAGCATACTTTTACTGGAGGAAACTTCTCAAAAAAAGAGATGAGCTTCAGAATATGCCTAAACTGAGTGATTACACAACTAAGACAGGCTACTGCTGGCTGTTGGGAGAAATTGATGAATATCCAGAGAACGAAACTATATGGAGCTCCTATTCTATCCCTAAACATCAATTCAATCTTGGGCTTATTAGGAAGGGTAGATTCCAAACTAAGAATTTGTACGTATATTCAAGTTGATACAACTTGTGTTTTATGTAATATTGAGTGCCCATCTGCTAATGAAATCCATGAGAATACTTTTTATTGTCTTGGAATGAATTGGAATCCAATCAATTTCCAGGAGGCAGAAGCTAAGTGTAGAAAAGAGAAACAAAGCTAAGAAGAAAGATTTTGAGTGCAGCCATTTCTGCTGACTGTTACTTCATCTGGAAAGCTCGGAATCAGGTTATTCAGAAGAAGAAGAAGACCATTAATATTGAGAATATCATTGCTAATATCCAAGTTCATAATAAACCATACATTAACCGTAAGTGTAGGAAAGCTATGCTGGTTTGAAGTTGTTTGTTTTGTATAGTATGTTGGCTTGAGCTCGTATAACTTTTGTTCAAGAAAAAACCTACAACAACCCCCTCTTTTATGCATAGATTGTATATTAAATAAAGAAGTTTTAGTTTCTTTAATTGTTGTGAGTCTTTTATGCATATATTATATACTACGGATTAAATATAAAATTCTAAGTACAATTATATTTATCAAACATAGATAAAAACAAATTCAGTTGCTGAACTGAACTGAGATATTGAACTGAACTGAATGTTCATAAATATGATTAAATTAAAAGCTAGTTAACTACTCATACACCTATATATATAATTAAAATATATTTAAATCTTATACTCCCTCCGTCCCACTATTTTTGTCCACTTTTCCTTTTCGGGCCGTCCCACTGTTTTTGTCCACTTACTTAATTTGGTAAATTTTTTATAACTAAAAGTCTGTTTTACCCTTCATGCCAATAAAATCACTTCCTCAATTAATATCCTCATCTCCCCATCTACCATTCATTTATTGGGCCTCATCTTACTCCGTATATGTCTGGCAAAGCTCCATTCTAGATCTCAGTGGCTCCATTCTAGATCTCAGCGGTTCTTCCTTCTAATGACCGCCGATGAAGCAGAGAAAAGCTCCATATCTCTGATTCTTTTCTCCCAGATGAAGCAGCAGGCATCGGTCCTAAGAACCTCTTCTCTCCCATCATCTTTCCAGGTCTAACCTTCTAGGAGTGGAACGACGGTTGGTGATTTCGATCTGTCGCCCTCTACGCATGTTTCTCCTGACGACAATGATGGTGAAATCCAATTTGTGGTTAAATCTGAGGATAGATCTCTACCACCTCCAGATTCTATGATGGCATCATTCAATTCACAGCTGAGTTGTAAATAGATCTATACTACCCATGCCTCTAATCAAAGTGATGATATTGGAATCACTATATGCCTGAGTCTGATGAATCGAAATCGAAAGGTCTTCCAATGGCGGTGGATCTAAAACTTTGTACTTCAAATATGAAATGTGTAGGTTTTTTTAGCATCATAAGTTTTTTTTCTCTTTTTTTCGTTTGTCATTTTATGTCTAAATTTGTAAAAACAGTTTGATTCACAATTTTTTTAGGTGAAGTTTGATTCACAATTTAATACAAGATGAATTAGTTAAAGAATGGAAATTTTTTGCTTGGCAGCATTCAATCATGTCTCCGTATTGCTTTTTTTTTCTCTTCACTTCTTGCTCTGATCGTAGCCCATAAGGGCAATTTAGTCCATTTTCACTCCCTTGTCCCACTTCTTGGTATTTGTGCCAAAAGGTAAGTGGACAAAGAGAGTGGGACGGAGGGAGTATTAAACTTCCTTCGTCCCAGAAAGATGTTCTTGTTTCATTTTTGTGCGTCCCATGAAACATTTCTACCCACATATATGATGTCTAAAATTCACTCCATTTCTCTCTTATTGCAAGTAGAAGTTGCTTTGGAGGTATTTTTGACATTTGAGATGGGGTAAAAGTATTTTACAGGATACGCAAAAAATAAAACAGAAACATCTTTTAGGAATGGAGGGAATATATTTTAATCCAGATTTCAGTTCTCCAGTTATGTTACCAGTTACAAGACTCTTGACTCCTGACTCCATTTAGACATAAAGCAAAAAGAACATGGCTTAAAAGATTGCAGCGCGTTAAAATAAGAAACCATATCTGTAATATAATGATCTATTGAATTTATTAGAGGTCACATACTGCAAACAGTAGAGACTAGAGAATATACATAAATGTTATATCTACCTCAATACAGAACTCTCCTGTTTCTGGCTCTTTGGCTACTGTAGCTGTTAGCCCAGCTGCAGATGAAGACTTACCAGATGTGTAGACAGATCTGGGAACCAAATCTGATGTGTACCTGGAAGTAAAGTACTAATAATTATAATAACAGTAATAAAAAACATCTTTTAGTGCAAAAAAATTAGTTAACAAGAATCATGATAAAATTGTCAGCAATATAAAAAGATATACTTGAGAAACTGAGATTTTGCACAGCTAGGATCACCAACAATGCAGACATTGATATCTCCCCTCAAATTAATGCCTTCGTGAGTAAACTTGTGAACACCACCCAAAAGCATAAGCAAGATTGCTCGCTTGATATCTTGGTGTCCAAAAACACTTGGAGCAATACTACCTACAAGCTTATTGAAAAAATCAGGAGTATTCCTCATTGTTTGTATTTCATCTAGTTCTTGTTCCTGTCAATACAGTAAGAAATCATATTACCCCAATATTCTTGTATTATGAGAAAAGAATAAAGAACAGTTTACAGGCTACAAACAATGCACTGTTAGACCATTACCTCTCAAACATCTATGAGGTAATCGAACATTTGGAAAAGGTAAAACATGGAAGATTCATACATTTGGATCTAACAAGAGAGAATCCTTATGACTCGGTATATTAAAGCCAAATTAAACTCCAAGATAAAAAAGAACGTATGAAGTATGAACTGATCCTTATATGCTGATCCAGAGCTACCCGCCTTCCAATGTTGACCATTTTTAAAGCTTATCTTATTTTAAAATGTGGAAAAGATTGTTGACCAGTTACAAGATATGCCTGGCTGGTGACAACAAAGAAACATTGAACTCCTATGTTTTTCATTTGCTTCATCATAGTGCACATCTAACCATGAGTACCTCCAAATGTAATGAAACTTGAGTATAGTGATGAATACATACCGTGAACTGTGGATTGTCCTCCTCATCAGCATCTCTCATATTTCTGACATCAATATCTCTTCGACCATCACATACCTGTGAATTATGTCAGGATATGCAATTTAAAAAGAGGCTAAAAAATGCCATATCATAGTCTACCCACATAATAAGCAACAATGATCCATCACTTCTAACAAGATGTAGAGCATTGGAACACTTAGAAACGTTGATATACAAAGTGGATGAACTTTTGCATCCAATGACCTGAACTGAATTGGCAATAAAGGCTAGGCGGTAAGAGAGATCTCTCACACCCAATGCACGGAGTCCTTTAACACCTTCCTGGCCTGCAGTAGCATTCTTTTGTTGAGGACCATCCCTGCGACACTCAGCTCTTTCTCCTGGAGAGGCCAGGGCAAATATGTCAGGTATTACCACCACAGTTCCAGTGAATATAACCCTACAACAAAACATGCATCACAAAATGAAATTTTAAAAGTAAGACTAGAATGTCCATCTTTGAGTAGTTAGTTGGGTATACTATAAGATTCATCTACATGCATATGATTGGAAAAAAACTACTTACGTGTCACCAGCCCTGGCTTGTTCAACAATATCGTGACGTAAAATGACATCAAGCGATCTTGGAAGAGAGCCAGCAGGTATCTCCTTAGATGTCTCCTGCATTCGGACTCTCTGCCAATCGGCAAATTTGCTATCTTGTCTTAGCAACGCCCATCTCACTGTGTTTGTACATGTAGCATTCATGCAGACAATAGGCTGCAAAGGAAAAGTATCAAGCAATTGGGTCATAGCACTGAATCACTTATTCTATATACGGCACATCATGTTTCTTGGCATTTTTGTATTACACTTAAGAAGAGTAATAGTTTCATAACAACAATCCATATATGAAGAGAAATAGCAAAGGCATGCATTTAAAATGAAACTACTAACGAGAATCAACAGCAAACCTCAGTATATTTGAATTGTTGTTCAACATTCTTAATGACAGTAGCACAGTCCAAACACTTGAAAGTCCCTTGTAAAAGTTCAGGCCGAACCTCACTTGTCCGAGTAACCACTCCTGTCACAGCTACCAGTTTCCCAATCTCTGATGTAGTCAACTCCCTCAATCTGCAACTCAACAATCAGAAAGAAGTAGAGAGGCACTCAGTTTAGTTCAGAATAAATTGAAAGAAAAATTAAAAAAAGAATATATAGTAACTTTCAAAGAGTAAACAAAGATTGCACCTCTTAATTAAGGGAAGATTGTAAAAAGCAACATTAATATCCTTGTTAGGGTTATTAGCTGTTATGAAATTGGGATTCTGCTCCATCACGAATCTCTGGCATGCACTCTTTAAATATGGTTCGAACCTTGACACGATTTAAGAAAACAGGAAAAATTTAATACTCCGTAGGGTTTTTGAGGAGCTTGAAGGATCTTCTGAAGATGCTAGGGTTACCTGAGAAAATTATCAGAAATAGTTCTCTGAAGAGGGTCGTTAAAGCGCATAACGTGGGAAAAGTCGATAAACAGTGTGTTGGACTCGTTGGGCCGCATCCCCGCGATCTCTAATTCGTAGTAAGGCTCCCTGGAGTTGGCATCCAACCGGAAACTGACAACATACAGAAAAAATAATAAGAGAGCTTATAGAAATTGGACCAGATTGAGGCTATTCTGAGAGAGGAAATTGAAAACTGAAGAGCATAATTCTTTGAAGAAGAGAACCTCTTTAGAAACTCCATGAGAGCGTTCTCCACCGCCGCCGCTTCCTCATCGACGAAGTGCCCAGCGCCGCCACGATCCATTTCCAAAAGCTCGAAAATTAAAGAGCTGGATCAGTATTCGCCGATTTCCACTCCCTCTTTGGGATTCACTGCGCCTTCTAGTTTCTGAAACGCTTCAGGCAATGCAGAAGATAGAAAATTTTGCGAGATGAGTGTAAGGAATCCCTGCAAGGCGGGATTTTGTGAAAGCCGCCGCACTTGTTTCCCGCCAAATCAACTAGACACTGGTTCAGATTTACAAGCCCGTTACACATCTCAATGGCCCATTACCTAAACCCCGAGCCCGAAGTCATCGTGAAGATTAGAGCAGCAAGTAAAAATTGGAAGTCACCCAATGAGTGATAACGCACAATATTTAAATCAATCAAAATTAGCTCAATCAACATGTAGCAAGTGAATGGAATGATATTCTTTCTATAGTTTTCAGAATCTGACCGACGATCAAATCGGTCGAGGTGCTGGTTCACTGGTCGAATCAGTGGTTCGAATAGTTAAACTAGCTGTTCAAACATTTTTGAAAATTTAATATATATATATATATATATATATATATATATATATATATATATTATTTTTATATTTTTTTTATAAAGAAGGGAAAAAAGAGATCAGTACAACACGTTCGGGGAGGACTAGACCGTAGCCCCGAAGGTAAAGGGAGGGAACATTTTATATATATATATATATATATATATATATATATATATATATATATATATATATATATATATATATTGGTTCTAGTGAGATTGCAATCTAATGAAAGAAATAAGAATGAATCAGGTGTTTTAGATTGTGAGATCTAAGGATCAGGATTGCATCAAAATTAGGTGCACCAAAATGGTTTGAAAATTCGTCATGTCGAAATGCACCAAAAACCTTTGAAAATGCACAATCTCAAAATCTGAGCGCAGGATGCAATCTGAGCTGCACGATGCATCAGATCCAAAGGCTAGATTTTATTCTTATTTCTTTCACCAAGGTGCATTCTCACCTGAACCGGCCCCTATATATATATATATATATATATATATATATATATATATATATATATATATATATAAAATACTTCTTTCTATCGAAAAATAAGTTATTTATGATCTATGACTAAAGTTATAATCAATTTAATTTATTTGAATAGTAGCATTAAATTGATAAAACTATATACTATGAAATATTTTAAAATTATATCAAAAATTTTATAAAATAGAAGGAGATTTTATTTTTTCAATAATTTGTCCAATATTTTCAAAACTTATCTAAATTGAATATTTCATTGATATGTACTATGTATTTGTAGAATACGGAGTAGTTAAAAAGTTAAATCATAGTTACAATATAAATTTTTTAAATGTTTTATGGAAAGAAATAATTTTTAAAAAAAAATTAATCAAAAAATATATTATATTCTACCACTTTATGCAATGTATGACACAAAAAGATTGTAGGCTTTGTAGCTAAGTTGGTCAGCATGTAATTCTACCCAGGAGATCTAGTGTTGGAATCCCTACACGCATAGCATTTTGGAGGATTTTCGCAAAAAAAAAAAAAAAATTGGTTTCCGGTTCTACCAGACGGTTCATGCCGGTTTTAACAAGTTCGCGCCGGTTCGTAGCTAAGGCCGGTCTTCTGGCCCGGACCGGACCGGTTTGGTCACCGGTTCGCGAGTTCCCTGTCCGAACTGGCCGGTCCGGTCCGATTTTTAAAACTATGATTCTTTTGAATGGCAAGTTATTATTTTTATCAATATTTACACTCTATTTTAATGTATTTTAGAACCAAACACAAATAATATTAACACCTCAAGTTCAAGTACATGCTTTACAAGCAAAAGAAGATAATAGCAACTACAAAGAAACTAATAAAACAAAAGATCTCATTCAAAACCTTTTATTTTAGCACTCAAAAAGGTGCAGGCATGGAATTTAATCCTTTGAACTGTTTCTTCCACTGAAGAGAGGGTATTCTTGTATAATAGGTTGATTCTGGCCCTCCAGATATTTTAACATATTTTAATTTTTAAAATTACTTTATTTATTATTTTAGGAGTAAATTTCATAATTAGTCCTTTATAATATGAGATTTTCCATATTTAGTCCTCTATTATCAAATATTAACCTCGTGGTCCTTCTTTTATTAGTATTTTTTCATAAATAGTCTTTTTTTAATATTCTGTCATGTTGGTGTTAATTTGATATCAACCCTTTATCCAGTGACGTATCCTGATATCGGTTAGACGGTCAACATAACAATAATGATTATGGCCGTAGACTGGGATTTCAACGAAAGATCACATCTGTAGATTATGGTTGTAATAGAAAGTGATTGTAATTCATCACAAACGACGAGTCAGAAGCGGCCTCTAGAATTGGGTATGACAAGAAAGGTATATGATTGTTGTGAAATTACACTTTTAGCCCTGAAATTAACACCAACATGATAGAAGATTAAAAAAAACTATTTATGGAAAGATACATGTAAAAGAAGAACCACAAGGGTAATATTTGATAATAGAAGACTAACTAGGGAAAACCTCATGTTATAAAGGACTAATTATGGAATTTACTCTTATTTTAGCATCAATAGTGATAGCTAAGACATCTCTCTCTATATGTCACTAGGGAATCATTTAACTATTGGTCAAAAATTTTGTTTCGAACCTCATTTTTCACAAATTTCATGGCTGAAAAGCGTGTTCAACACTAGCAGTTGCTACTCGTAGAAGCAAAGCTAACCTTATGAGAGTATTAACATGTTGATATGTCACAACCTTCTTCGTGGAAACCATTTTCATAGATAAATCACCAAGCCCCTTCAAAGCAACAAATCTACTCTTAGTCTAGACATCCAAAATGTAATTCTCAAGCTGGTTTTCTCAAGTCTTGATGCTCATATCTGAAAACTCCGTTGGATAGAATTCAGCCATTCTTGATAATTTAACCATGTGAAAAGACTCAAACAAAGAACAATGGCTTAAGCATGCAACACAAACCAACACAAGTTCTCCCCGCGCACTTTGTCCTCACATGTGAGGAGTCCAAGAAATTTCTCAGGGGGTCACCTATCCTAATATTGATCCAGGTCAAGCACACTTAACTTTAGGGTTTCTAAGTGATGAGCTCTCGAAAAGAAGATCCACCTTGTTGGTATGAATAGTACGATCAATCCCTTTGAGCTCTTCTCATTCCCATCTTAATACGGGGTATTATAGTCTTTGTCAAAAAACCATTTTTCATCAATATGTAACACATTTTTAAAACTCTTGAGAGTTGGGTTTGATGGAATACTAGATTCCTCTACTTGCTCCAAACAAAACAGTAACCTTTATCTCTTATTTGCCTCATTCTGTGAGGGCTTAATTACATTACTATGACTTCAAAGAATACCTCTTTTCACTCAGTTATGAATTGTACACTTGCACAAACCCGCAGCAGAGGCTAATGACCTGATTGTGGTTCTCTTTCGCAGTGGGATGTGTCTTCAATTGCATCCGAATTTGCTGCAAGTCTTTTCCTCCCAACCCTTCGTGCCATATTGCTTCTTACATCTACGCAATGTCTAGCTTGTAGTTGTGCCTTAGCTTTTGACCACAACTTAGAAACAGTTCTTCTACTAACTCTAAAATCAGCAGCAGCTTCTGTTAGCCAAGTATTTTATGTATATTTGTTTATTGTGTATTGGGCCGTGTATAGCTTGGGCCCGTGTTTAGCTTTGTATATAAACTCCAGGTGCTTAATGAAAAACCCAGCTTCACGTAAAATATTTCTACATGGTATCGGAGCAATCCTAGGGCAAAGTCTCGAAACCCTACGCTTGTATTCTCGTTTGTGTGCCGTCTGTTCTGGTGCGCCGGAGATTGGAGCCCGTCGGTCCTCCTCCGTCGCTGGTCTGTCCGCTGGTGTTTGTTCGTCGCTGGTCTGTCCGCCTCTCTGTCGCTGGTCTGTCTGCCGTTAACCGCTGCGGTCTTCTCGTCGCCGGTTCGTACGTTCAACGTTTGTCAACATGTCCGGCGAAGTCGTAGTCTCCAACCCTAAAAAGTCGTTTGTGAATGGCATGCGCCCGAAACTTCAGAAGCACATGTCTACTGCATCTAGGCAAGATTTTGGAGTCATGTACGAGCAAGAAAAAGAGGTTGTTAGATCAAAGGAAGGATTCAAGCTGAACACTAAGCAAAAGCCAACTAAGACCTCCACACAAGCAGCTAGCACTAGCAAGGTCTTTCATGAGAAAAGATCTCAGAGCGAATCTGGAATCCAAACATCAAAGAAAGCCAAATCGATGCCTACTCAATCCGTTGCCTCGACTAGCAAAGGGAAACAACCTAGGCATCCCTTGTGTACCCATTGCAATCGCTATCATCCAGGAGAGTGCTGGTGGACGCTAGGACTGTGTATGGGATGCGGGCAAGCTGGTCATCAAAGGAAGAATTGTCCTACAAATCCGGGTCCTGCATTTTCTACCACCCATGCCCTGAACCAGTCACAAATAGCAGGTCCAGCTCAGAGTCAACGTACGACAGCAGGATCTCATGTGCAACGACCTCAGCAGCAACGACCGCCGCAAGCTGCGACACAACATGCCAGAGCTCCAGCTAGGACATATGCTATGCGTGGGCAAATCAATCCTAATCTAGATTCCGACCACGGTACGTTCTTACATGCATCGTATGTATACATAGCATTATATGATCCTAACTTGGCTACGTATTGAGAACGTACTTTCCTATTTAATTACTCGTATGGTTGCGAAGGAGTGATAACGATTTCCTTACGATGCCAAGGAATCCGTGTGAATTCAATTATCTTCATCTTTTTCAGCAATTACGATGCAAAGGAATTTCGAGGACGAAATTCTTTAAGGGGGAGAGAAATGTAACGCCCTGAAAACCGACTCAGTAGTTAGTCGTTATTTTAATAAAAAAATAAATAGATTATTTACTTTCTTTAAAATATGAAATATTTGTAAAGTTGACCATTTTAATTAAAAATTAGGTTTTCGGGTAGATCTCGTAAAATGGTGACCAACGGTATATAATTTGTTAAATTTGGCCTTTCGTATACACCGCGATAAACAAAATAGACATTACAGTTCAATAAATAAAATAAAGAATTTTAATAATAAAGTATTATAAAACCTAATAATACGCACGCACAACCCTATTCCTAATTCCGTTTGGGAAGTCTAAAAGTTACCCAAACCTACGGTTATAAATACATAAGGAAACCCCTTCCGTTTCATCACCTTCCTTGTTCTTCTCTCTGCGCGTCGGACCGGAGTTTGAGTTTCGCCGGGGTTGTCGCCGGAGTTCTACAAGGATCAGCCGGAGTTTAATTTGTCAATTGAGGTGAGTGATTTGTCTCTCGTTAGAATTAATTCGTAAGTTAGGATTCGTTAATATATTATATCCAATTGATGTTGAATTTGTGAGTTGGATTGTTGAATATCTTGATTAATTGGAATTGATGGTATATTTGGAATGGGGTTTGGGTTGGATAATGGCTATTTGCCTTTTTCGAACTTTTCTCTGCTATGTACTGTTCCGTCGCTCTCTCTGTACCTCCTCTGTTCTTCTCTGTTTATTCCTCTCTCTGCTCGGAGCCGCTGCTGTGTTGCCGACCAGGGATGTCGTCGCAGGTGACCCCGCTGCTGGACAAAATGTTCGCCGCTGGTTGGAGTTGGGGAGCAGGTACTCTTTGGACAATAGGATTGGGGATTTAAGTTTCTAAAATTGTAGATTGACCCCATGATTCTCAAGACGTTGCAATTAGGCCCTCTTCTATATTGTGCCTCTAAAATTTTAATAAAGGCTACAAATTAATCTAATGCATTGTTTAAACTAATGAATTGTGTAAGGGTAATTATGTGATTGAATTGGATTATGGGATCATGTCTCCTGGTATCTAGGAAGGTCTGAGTTAAACTGAATTCATAAGGATTAAGATTTAGGATTTAGGCCTGGTGGGGCGAGCTTTGCATAACTCACAGGTCTTGGGTTAAAAACGTACGTACGGGAGTCATTAGCCTACCTAGGGATTCCTTTGTAGGGGCTCCAACCCGCCCATTGAGGATTCTCTTTGGGTTTCATCAAGCGTGGCCTCGGGGGATCTGTCCGAGTGTCCATGACTTAGTTAGTCAAAAGGAAACCTTAGCCTATAGGGTTAAGTGTAGATGAACAACAGGAACTGAATATAAATAATTAGTTGATCATGGTATTAGATAATGATAATTGCTGATTCTTCTGATATTGTGTGATTATATATTGATGGGAGCTAGTCTATGAGTTAGTTCTAGCGTTAGATACTTCCACTCTTCCTATATTTTTACAAGTATAGATCAAGGACTGAATGAGGAGCAACCTGGAGAGGAGTGAAGCGTGATGCTAGTGGATGACCCGATGCTATTTGAAATTGAATTAAATACTCGTTGACTGTTATTTTGTTTAAACCACAAGAATGTTTGATAATGTTGTTTAAAAGGCTTCCGCAACGTTTGAGTTGTTTACTCCGATTAATTATGAATTGTTTTTCATTAAATATAAATGTATGTTTTATTTTAAACGTTTTCAAAATATTATGCATGTGAATACCAAATTAGTGAAAACCCGACTCGCTAACTCGTCGTTTCGGGTTACGCGGGTTGGGGTGTTACATGGCTCCTCTGATCTTACCGGGGGCTGCCGGTGTGAGGCCGCAGGGGTTATGCGTGCCCGTATTGATCGTGACAAAACCGTGGATTTCTTGCTTGGATTGGATGATGAGCAGTTTGGGAATATCCGGTCTCAGAATATATGCACTGAACCGGTGCCCGATCTCGACCGTGTGTATTTCTTGGTTACCCAGGAGGAGCGCCATCGCCATATAGTTCGCACAAGGGACGATCGCACGGACTTCGTTGCCTTTGCTGCCCGATCCGACAAACGTCCTCCCGTTCCAAATAGGTCTTGTTCGCATTGTGGTCGTACTAATCATAGCGTGGATACATGTTTTGAGCTCATTAGTTTCCCAGCCCAGTACGCTCGTGGTGGAGGACGGGGTCGCGGCAGTGGCCCCACAGGTCGGGGGGTTCGGCGTCCGGCGGCCGTGGTTCTACTCGGCACGGCAGCGCCCCTCACACCCCTGCCGGCAGTGGGCAGCCGGTCCAGGGCAGTAGCGGGCGGGCCTCCTGCAGCTGTTCATGCTTCGGTGTCTGACTCAAGCGGCAACCTCAGTGATCAAATGTCTCGCTTGATGTCTATGTTAGAGGCATCCGCCTCTCATGTATACACCGGTAATTCTTCTTCTGATTGGTTAATTGATAGTGGCGCTTCGCATCACATGACAGGTTCTCTCATTCACTTAGACAATGTTGAGGATGTTTCCCCTCATTCTGTCTGTCTCCCTGATGGGTCTCGTGTCCAGGCCACAAAACAAGGAAGTGTGCATTTGTCATCTCGTTTGGTATTACGTAATGTTTTATACGTACCAAACTTGCAGTGTCACTTGATTTCTGTTGGATGTTTGATACGTGATAATACTTGTTATGTGACTTTTAATGATCATCGTTGTGTAATACAGGACCGTTCGTCGAAGATGGTGATTGGACAGGGTGATTTGTGAAATGGTGTGTATGTTTTTGCATCTGTTCCTGTGTCAGCTCTCGTGGCCAATCTTGACCCTTTTGTTCTTCATCAACGGCTAGGCCACCCTTCCGTTGACGTTCTTTCGTTTCTTGGTACCAATAAAACACAATCTGTTGTTCACAAATTACAAACTTGTGAGATTTGTTTTATGTCTAAGCAAACTCGTTCCCCGTTTCGTATTAGTGATAATAAAGCTGATGCTATTTTTGATTTAATTCATTGTGATCTGTGGGGACCTTATTCGCCTTGTATTTCGTATGGGGCACATTATTTTCTGACAATTGTTGATGATTTTTCCCGGGTTGTCTGGGTTTATTTGATTAAATCAAAAAGTGAGGTCACTTCTTGTCTACGACGTTTTTTCATAATGATCAACACCCAGTACTCCAAAACTATAAAAATTGTTCGTTCTGACAATGGCACTGAATTTCTCAATTCTTCTTTGCGTCAGTATTATGATAGTTTGGGTGTGTGTATTCAAACGTCTTGTGTTGGTACCCCACAACAAAATGGGCGGGTAGAACGAAAACATCGTCATATACTAAATGTGGCCCGATCCCTAATGTTTCAAGCGTCTCTTCCACTCGAATTTTGGGGGGAGTGTGTCAAAACAGCCGTGTACTTAATTAATCGCACTCCTACTAAAATTCTCGGGGGCAAATCTCCCCTTGAAATTCTTTCCTCTAAACATCAAGATTTGAGTCATCTTCGGGTTTTTGGTTGTCTTTGTTATGTCCACCCTATTCCTAAACCCAGAAATAAGTTTACCCCACGAAGTATCAAGTGTGTGTTCATGGGCTATCCTTATGGTACCAAAGGGTGGCGTGTCTATAATCTTGAAACCCATACATTTTTTCACACACGGGACATCTCCTTTGATGAAACAATCTTCCCGTTTGCCGTTCTTACTCCCACGACCAGTTCCCAACCCATCCTCACGCCCTCATCAGTTGATTTCGTCGCTCCTCCCACCCCCGTTACCACTGCCGTACCAGCTCCCCAGCCACTGGTACAGTCACCCGTCACCCCCACTGTCCTGGTGACAACCCAGCAGCCTGCCCAGCAACCGTCTACGTCTCCATCTCCGTCACCCTCTTTGTCCCCTTCTTCGGCCAGCACCCCCGTCCCCTCCGACGACGACGACACCCCAATATTTCTACAGCTTCATTCATAGCACCTCTATGAGCAGTTTCTGCCCCCATAAAATTTGTTTGCGCATGTAGCGACAAATAGTCTACTATTCCCTGCCTTTCTAAGTTTGAAAGCTTTTTTGTCCTTTTCTCTTGTGTGTTTTAGGATTCTCTTTGTAGTGTTTGTGTAGGACTAGATGGATCCACTCCTGAGGTCGAAATTTCCAGTAGCAAATGCAAAAAGAAAAATGGTCTCAGATGGTAGAAAGAGAAAAATGGAGGGACAGTGAGTGTCTCGTAAAAGAAAGTTGTTAAAAGAAGAGGAAGAAAAGAGAAAAGATAATGGACATGGTATGCTACTGGAAAAAAGAAAACTGCCAAAGGAGAAAGAAAAGAGAGACTAAACACTTTGGAAGCTTTCTAAAAAGGGAATGGCAGTACTCCTATGGAGTATTAATAGCTGGTGAAAATGTAATGGGATGCAAATTTTTTGTTTTTGGAGGGACTTTAAATTTTTTGCAAATTTTGGCATTGGAATGCCGTGTAAAAGTTGTGATTGTAATTTGGAGTAGTAGTTTAACTTTGTACTATTCTTACTTTATTCACTTTTTAAGTTCTTATTGTTTCAAAAAAAAAGTTCTTATTACTTTATTTTTATTTAAAGAAAGGCAAATTTGGAAAGTCAAGGAAACTTTTACATTTCCTTAAAGTGCGTGCTTGGTCAAACAGGGAACTTTAACCTTGGATGGGGAGAGTATGAAATAAAAAAATGTTTTGATCAATAATTAAAATAATTTCCTTTAAAAAACTTATATTGTTTAAAAAATTGAAATGCATTTATTTCTTTATTTATTTTACACTCTTTACCTTAGAAAAATTGCGAGGACAAAATTTCTTTTAAGGGGTAGAGAAATATAACGCCCTCAAATATACCCTATAATTAAATAAAGGATTTCTAATAAAACATAATTTTCGTTTAGATTAAATAAATAAAAAATAGAAACGACAGTACTAAGAATAAGTGGTTTTCAAAGTTGACTTTTAATATTCAAAATTATACTTTAATTGAAGGTCTCAACGAAACAAGTCCAATGATGTATTTTGTGTGTGAATCCAAGTTACAAAAGTTAGGGATTTGACCATCCTAAAACCAAAATAATATTATAAAGTAAACGAATAAGAAACCAGTATGTTGTAGAGACAATATTATATACTCACTCTGTCCACCATAGATCTTCCCAGGCACTATTCACAAGGTCAAATTTTACTCACTTTGTTTGCTCAATTTTACTAGTCATTTCATAAAATAATATAGTCTTGTCACCTCTAGTTTTGTAGAACTTTTCATGTAGTTTATTACTATATAAATTTTATTTTAAAATTTTACTCCTATAATTAATTAAATTGAATTGAAAATAAAGTCGGACAAGCCTCGTAACGCGTAATGGGAAGATCATACATGGACGGAGGGAGTATTAAATTTTTGGTTATTGGGTAGATCTCGTAAAAAGATGACCAACGACATATAATTTGCCAAATTTGGACTTATGTATATGAACTTATAAACAAAATAGATGTTACAGTTCATTAAATAAATAAAAGAATTTAGTACTATAATACTCCCTCCGTGCCAAAAAGATTGGTACATATTGAATTTTTGGAAAATTAAGGGAATGATATTTTGGTGTTGACTTTCCAAAAATACTCTTGATGTGATGGATAAAAGTAGGATGTGATGTGTAGATTATTAGGAAAAAGGTATGATGTGATAGGTAGGGTATGAAAAAGTAAAGGATAAAAGTGGTTTTTTAATAGAAATGTAACGGATTTTACGAGACACAGTTTTTTCGAAACGTGTCGGATTTTTTGGGACGGATGGAATATTAAAATATAGGATAATAATACGTATATACTCCCTCTGTTTTTTAAAACACTTCTTCTTTCATTTTTTTCACTTCCAACAAAACACTTCCACTTTTTATTAAAAAACCACTTTTACCCTTACTTTTTCATACCTTACCTATCACATCATACTTTATTTCTAACAATCTATTCATCACATCTTACTTTTATCTATCACATCAAGGGCAAAATTGGAAGTCAATTACAATTTAATACTTCCTTATTTTTACACAAAGTCAAAATAGGAACACTTTTTTCAAACGGAGGGAGTACATAAATCCCAATTGTATTCTAGAAAGAAAAACTCCCCTATAAGCCTATATATCCAGCCAAACCCGCCGGAGAAGAAAGGCCAAGACAGCGATCGCCAGAGCTTCGTGGGAGGAGTCTTACGCCAATTGATTCGTGTTCTAGGTGACTGATTTAGGTTTAATTTAAAGTTTTTGTTCAATTTTTGTTAGTAAAGTGTATTTTATTGGACATAAAATAGTTCAATTACCTAAATTTTTATTAAATTGAACAAAATAGATTAATCAAATTTTTATGTCCAATAACAAAAAAATGAAGTTTTTATTAAACATGAAAAATCGAACAAAAACTTTAAATTAAAACTAAATAGGTGGAGTCATATTAAATTTTGTTGGAGGCATATATACATAAATTTTCAAAAAAATTACCTTATCGCAAAAACTTAGAAGGGGGCATATGCTCCCAACTATATCAATATGTGTCCGCCCTTGAGTAATCATTTGACTATTTTATTTTAATTTGATAAATGAGAATATATATGAAAAAGTGATATACTTGGACCTTGTAAATAGTAATGTAAAACAAAAATATTCTTATGGAATCAATAGAGTTTATAAACTTTATATCTATTTTTAAATAAAAATATGGAAATTTTGGACTTTGTTGTATTATAAATCGGCAAGGTTTCGTTGACCCTAGCATCTAGTTTCGACGGATGATACTCACTCATTTGGAATGTAAACTCTTCTGGTGTTCCAAATGAAAAATTGATAGTTCCTACCTCCATAACCCTCTATAAACTCTTTACTGCATCCCACTCCGGCTCTACTCAGCGCCCTAACTCTAAACCCCCTCTTTCCTCCTCCAAATGTGTGATTACTATGCAATGTAAAATGACGTTTATATGAAGATGGTCAAGCCCTTCTATAACACATAGCCTTATTTTTCATGAAGTGAAAGTGGAAAACTCTTTTTAGAAGGGAGGGATTGAAGCAGAATAATGACGGGCTGTTTGGCACACACATTTGGGTATTTTGACCATGCAAATGAGAGCAAATCTCACTTTTCCGCTCTCTCTCTCCGTATCTAAAGCTTCACGCACCCCCACTTGACTCTGATCAGACACTTGTTAAAGCATTTCATCTCCCTTTCTCTTTTTTTTTCCAACCACTTTACTCTTTCCACAAGATTCCCATTATTTAGGCATTTATTACAACAAAACATAGCTAGAAATATGCAAGTTAAATTTTCTGCTAGGTGATATCATTAAACCTATATATATATATATATATATGGCACTACCAATTGCCAAATGAAGACTTATCATCATCATCATCATCTCTCCAATATTAATCCTATCCTCTTCTTCCTCTTCTTCTTCCTACTAACGGCCGCCAGCGCCAATGACCGGCAACGAAACTTAGCCCCACAACATCCTGGAGGCGGCGGCGGCGGTGGTGGTGGCGGCAGCGAGACCAACACCAACAGCAACTCCGTGTCGTCGCTGTCGTCGTCCGAAAGGCCAAAAGAAAAGCCAGCTGATTCGGATGCTTATAGCAATCCTTTTGATCATAATTGTGGTGTTTCTTCTTCAAAGGGGAGAAAGGAATGGGTTGGCCGCCGCAGTTCGTTCAATGTCAGTGCTCATGAAGTTCCCAGTGGTCCGAACCCTATTTCGAATAGGTAAATATATACTCCCAGGTGATAGTGGAGGGAGGAAAAAAATTAAAATATGAGTAAAATATAAGAAAAAAATGCATGATAATAATATACCTCGTTACATTATTACAATGTAATATTATTATTTTGAAGATGAAAATATAGCACTTTTATTGGTTCTAAGTCCAATATTAATTAGTACTCCTTCCGTTCTAAATGATATTGCTTGTTTGCTATTCATAAGGTCAAAATTCATTTATTTTCTTTCTCTATTTTTGTTAGTCATATGGTAAAATATTATCGTAATGTCACCACTAATTTTGAAATTTTTATTATTATTATTTTAACATGTAATTTTTATTTGTTATTTCTACACCATTTCACATATATATAAATAATACTCCCTCCGTCCCGTGAAACATGGGAGTTTTGCTTTTTAGGAGGGATTTAACGGGAGTGTATTTTGGTATTGAATTTCCAAAAATGTCCTTTGATGTGATGGGTAAAAGTATGATTTGATGGATAGATTATTAGCAAAAAGGTATGATGTGATAGTAAGGGTATGAAAAAGTAAGGGGTAAAAGTGACTTTTTAATAGAAAAGAGAAGTATTTTGTGGAACGGATAAAAAAAGAAAGGAGAAAGATTTTATGGGACGGAGGGAGTAGCTAGGAATGAGGCTATATACCACTCAACAATTTGAGTTTCCAATTTGATTTATCTCTCTTTTCTCATTTCTATACTTAATGTATGCGCTTGTATATGAGACTGCAGCTGGATGATTAGTCTAAATTTTTTAGCATTATTACAATATAATATTTTAAATATAAAATATACTTTTATTGATTTGATATTCTAATTAATAATATAACCCGCCCGTCTCATATTCAACTTGAAAAGAAGGTGAGATTTAGGGCCTGTTCTTTACGACTGGAAAAAAAGAGCTAGAAACTGGAAGAAACTGGAAGAAACTGGAAGGAACTGGAAGAAACTGGAAGAAACTGAAAGAAACTGAAAAGAACTGGAAGGAACTGGAAGTTAAGAGTTCAAGTCATTTTAATGTTTCTTAATGTTAAGGCAGGATATGATTCGATGCCATTGTAGTTTAGTAAATAATACTCCGTACTTCGTACGTACTCCGTAAAGGTAAAAATCAGAAAGTGTTGTACAAATAAAAGATTTTAAATATAATAAATATAAATGTATGCTTTAAAAAGATAGAAAAGTAAAAGCGAAAAACTTTTTTTGAAATACCAATATATGAGTATACTGTACTCCGTAAGTGTTACTCCGTATATGATTATTTGTTCATGTATTAGATATTTAGATGCATGTGATATTTGCTTGGTATATACGATAAAATTGTAATTTAGTAATGGCCTGTTATTTAGGACTGAAAAAAATGCTGGATGTTGGATGAAACTGGAGGAAACTAGAAAGAAATTGGAAGAAACTTGAAAAAACTGGAAAAGAATAGAAAAAATTAGAAAATTAAAAACTAGAAGAAACTCGAAAAAATTAGATGAAATCGGAAATACTAAAAAAACTTAGAAAATCTAAAAAAACTAAAAAAAGTTAATCTTATTTTTTATATTATTCTCATTCTAATTATTATTATTATTATTATTATTATTATATTCATAATCACGTTATCTTAATCAATGTCTTTAAGATAAAAAAGTATTGTCATTTTTCATACACAAAAATCTACTTTCACAAAAAAATGTAATTGGAATATAAAGTTCGCATAAATATTGAAATGTTATATTTTAAAAATTTAGTGTGGTAACTTTGTACTTCAATTTATTTATGCAGTATTTATTATAAAAAATATATTTCTTTATGTATATACTTTATATATTACATGATTTTACTTTAAATATTAGATCTGGCACATAATATGATCAAATCTATTTTTTCTTTAATGATTGACATTATATTTGCATTGTAACTCTTATTTTTAAAATAAAAATATAGAACTCATATTTGTTACATTTTTAGGTTTTACTCATAGTTTAGTATTGTTCTTTAAAAAAAAAATTTAAAAATTTGAAAAATGTTTTTCTCATATCAATTTATAAGAGTGTGAATTGTAAAATCAGTGACATGAAAAAAATTAAAAAATGAAACTATTTATAAATTATAGTTATGAACATAATGGTTGTAATAAAAATGCTCCGTAATAATGAAGATAATAATAATAATAATAATAATAATAATAATAATAATAATAATAATAATAATAATAATAATAATCAAATTACTAAATATATCATTTTAGAGTAATATTTGGTGAGTAGAAAGAGTTTGAAAAAGATAAGAATAGTTGGAAAAAACTTGAAGAAACTGGAAGTTCAGAGTTTAAGTTTAAAGAACAAGCTCTAAGAGTTTCAATATTAAATAGAAAAATTATGTAGAATAATCTCAACTTTACATGGTTTTTCAAAAATAAGCTCACATTTTAGTGTAATGTATAATAATCCTAATTTAACTGAAATTTGCGAGTTTTAGGTTGCGATTAAATTGTTAACGCCTTGTTATAACGGTGATCTCTTTTACGCAATAAAATGAAAGTTGAGATTATTTTTATGAATTTTCATTTTTTTGAAATTTTTTTTATAAATTTTTTAATGACTTTCTACTTCATTTTTTAAAGATTGTTTTTAAATTTTTAACGTCTGGTTAACGGCATGCATTTCTTTTTTGAAAGATTTGTATTACCTCAAAAAAAAATTGATATACAAAATAACAAAATTGAGTAAGACAACTAATACATAACAAAGTTAATATAATGAATTAAAATGATAATCAATATAACCTCAAACTGATAAGAAAAAAAATAAAAAATATATTGAGTGGAGGGTTCTAATGTTTTAAGCAACATACGGAGCTATTGATTTCTCCCATTGATAAAAAATGAAAATAAAAATAAAAACAAGAAATAAAAAATATTTTCTTATTAAACCCTTAAAAATGGAAATAAGAGTAAAAAATAAGAAATAAAAAAGTATTTTCTTTAGCATGCATAATTTCATTTTTGTTTTTACTTAATAAGAAAAATAATCTTTAATTAATTTATTTAGGGTTTATTTTTTATTTTTTATATTTATTTTCATATTTGACCAACAGGAAGAAGTAATACATTAATAATCTATATAGTGTATAAAATGTTAGAACCCATCAATTCATATATATTTATTTATTTTTATTTCTTAACAGTTTGAGATTAGCTTTTATTGATTACCTTATTTAATTCATTACTTTTTATATCTATTTTTTATTTTTTCGTGTGGCTAGACTAACTTTTAAATAAAGAAAGAAATGATGGAGGTAGGAAGTCATTTTAAAAATTAATGGAGAATTTTGAAAAAAACTTAAAACAACAATTTACTCTATAAAAAAACCAACTTAACTTTTATTTTGTTGCGCAAAACATGTCATTTCCGTTTACTAGCCGGGAGCAGCTTAACAGTGATCTAAAACTTCAAAGTTTGAGTAAGTTAGAATTATTATACATTACAATGAAAAAATAAGATATTTGTTAAAGATCAATCAAATTAAGATTATTTTGGATAATTTTATATAAACTAATTTTAGCCTCACTTTTTCTAAAGGAAAATAGTTTTTTGGCCTTCGTGAGAAATGTGCATTAATAGCAGTGTCTTTTTACCCCGTGCGTTCCTATATATATCTCACATTTGTTTTTTCAGCAGGCTCGAGAACTTTTGTTTATTTCTACATTTTTCATTGGTTATTTGATAGAATAAAATATTCTTGACACCTCTTATTTTGAAGAACTTTTCATGTAGTTTTTTGATATGTAAATTTTATTTTTTTTATTTCTATACCAATATGTAAATAAAAAGAATTAAAAAAACTTAACATTTTACCTCAGTAATAGAAATATGAGATATATTTAGAGACAGAGGGAGTGAAATTTAATTACAAAAACTCTTTTAAAAAACTCGTCTTAATTTTTAAAATAAATTAAAAAAACCTTTTTTTATTTTTGAATGTGTTGGGTGAATGAGAAATTGATTCCCAGAGTTAACTCGTTAATAGAAAAATATGGTAAGGATTGCAATTTTACTGAACCAATCTTCTATTATTAATTTTACGTATTGTTTAAAATTAGTCCATTTTTACGAAGTTAACTGGCCATTAATCTCCAATTATTCAGGAGAAATTTTAAACGGAACATAGCGTAACGAACGTGTTAATGGCTAATTAATCACCATTAACATGACATTAGTGTGCCACAAATGCCATGGATATGGTTTAATACTAAGAATTAATTGTGTATAGTTACACTTTTAAAATTGCTTAGTTAAAAAAATCAAATCAAGGGGCTCTTCATTTGGGGGTGTTTATGCGTGAGGAAGAAGAAAAAAAGGAAAAAAAAACTCTCTTGTTTTTTAGAGAGAGCTTTTGATTTTCCGGCCGAATTTCTGGCAACATTCTTACGTTATTCTTGTTCGTTGGTGTGTGGTTGGTCGCCAACATTCTTACGTTATTCTTGTTCGTTGGTGTGTGGTTGGTCCGTACAAGCTCCACACACGATAGTGGTTTTATCCTGGGAGGAGCGGGCCCACGTTTTTCCGGTACGGTAGGCGGGCACTACTACTTAAGAACACCACCTGCTACTCCGGTGTCCTTCTACGGTATTTTATTTTGAAGGTTCAGCTCATAACGACCTCGCTGCATTCTGCGAGGACATTATGGCTTCAGCCCAGTGCATAATGTCAATTTCTTAACATCGGATCTGGGTTCTTCCTCTGAATATCTGATAATCCTTGTCTGCATGTAGAGTAGATAGTGTATCCTGAAAATTTTCAGAAACTTGAGTTTTCAGAAATCTAAGTTTTGGATCCTCGGAGGTGAGAATTTGTTCTTTGCACCTCTTCAATGGCCGGCTTCTTATTACTTGATATAAATTTTGCCTGTTTTGGTGAAGGCATGGCAGTACTTTCAGGCTTTTGCACGCTAGACTTCTTTCAGATTTTTGAGCTGGAAATATATGATTTCCAAGCTGTAACGGAACATGTTGTTTGTCACCACAAATTATGAATGAAGATTTCGTTTTATGTTCTTGTTAGTTTCAAAGCTTTTACCGTTTATTAGCCGATCTCTTGTGCTTTTAGGAAACTTGAAAAAATACACGTGCTTATTGTGTGTGTATATCTTATCATTTGTTAGAGAGCTTGGAAATCTTGACTTGAGCTTACACTGAAAATGGTAGATCCTCTTTTCAACATCTAAATTTCTCTTGTTTGGATGAACATGATTTACTTATTTTTCATAAAATTCCAATTCTCTCTGTTTGGATAGTTACTGGACCCTTCTACCAAAGGGAGTGACGATATTGATATTGACTGGAGTTCGGAAGATGATCAAGAAATTCAGGATTCAAACTGTAGAGTGACTGCTTCTAGTTATGAGGAGGTAAACACCACAAGAAACCAGAGTGCTCTTCATTATATATTAGGATTTAGGAAAGATTAACTCATTTTTTCATTCACTCATTACTATCTAAAAAACTGTCTCTGCCATAGCATGACTGCATGAGTAGGGGTACAAACTTAATCTAGTATATAAGGTTTCATTCTTTTAGTAGGACACATACATTTGGGCGCAGGGAGTACACAGTAAGCAGAATGTGAAATTTATAGTATCTGCTTGAAAGTTATGTGTTGGTTCCCCTTATCCACTTATAACTTGTACCATATGGTTCAATCCAATTGAAATGGGATTATGCATAAAATATCCATATTACTTTATGCTAACTTACAAGGTACAATCATTATAAAATACATGACAAAATCTACCTAATATTCTAAACCAATTGAATGGGTTTCTCCATTTAAAGAAAATGAGGTTCCATTGTTATAGTTTCTGCTTGAATATGGTTTCAATATACTCTTTAATAGTTCATGCGTCTTTGAATTATTTATCTTACAGTCTAAGTTAAGCTCAACTTCATTTTTCATTGCATCTGTATCGTTCGTGCTTTAAAATGGTTGCAATTGATCCTTTTGTTCATTCTTTGTTTTTGATTTAATTTTCATACTTTTAAGGCATGCCGAACATCAACGCCTCACTCTTCGGATCTGATTCAAAACTTTGTTGGGATGGGGTTTCCAAGAGAACTAGTTGCAAAGGCAATCGAACAAAATGGTATCTTCATTTTGAATACCTTATATGATTATTTGCTTCACTTGGAATTTCTATTTCTGACTTTTGACATCAATACAAAGGAGATAACTCTGAATCTATTTTGGAAACTCTTTTGACATATTCGGTTAGCAATCCGTCTTCATTCCTCCAACTTCCATTATTCCATACTTTCTTGAAAACATAGTTGTTTATCTTTCAATTACTATGTATTACAATTCTTCAAGAAACATGTTTTGATTAAACTGATGTCACTTTATTTAACTTTCATGAAAATACGTTTACAATCTTTCTTTGGGCCGAGGAAAATGAAGGATGCAGCCAGTTTGGACTTTTCTTTTTCTTCAAAATCTTTAATCTTTCTACTTCTTTACCTTGTTCTTCTGTGGGTACCATGGGGTGGGTCTTTTTCTGCAGGTTCTTGATATTCCTTTTAAGGAGACACCTTGTGATATCTCTCCTCAATACCAGCAATGTTTCAACAATGAAGGGAGTTCTTCAGGATACAATGATAACTTTGGGGATGACTTGTCTGACACCTATAGTTGGTCTGAGGATGATGAGGTATTTTATTTTTTCCTTTATTGGATCCTTTTATTTAATATACATCCATACATATGAACAGTTTCCGGTAGATGTTCATTCAATAGAGAACTCATGTTTCTTGATTCCTGTGGTGGGATACAGGTGAAACACTTGCGCTGATCTATCTTAATCATGTAAAACATTAAAACTGTAGACCATCATAAATGGGTACCTTGCAACTCACGCACGAATTGGATTTTTAAGATCTCGAAAAACTAATAGATAATCAGTAGAAGGGGTGAAATAGAATCTTTCAAGTAAAATTGCCGAAGGCTGTGAGTAACTGAGTAAGAGAGATCAGTGCAAGTGGCATGGCTGTGAGTAAACTCGGGTATCAGTAAAATTGCAGCACGACATACTAGGCACTTAAATGTGAATTGACTGCTTAGATTATGCTTAGCTTTGAAGCCCATTTATTTTCAGGAGTCACATTGTTTCTATTGACTGCTACAATTTTCAGGAAAATGTGGACTCTTTATCTGACAATGGAAGAATACTGTTAAAGCTCACAAATATGGGTTACATGGTGCAAGATGCTTCACTATCTATGGAAAGATGTGGTGTGTAGGGAAGACCGTTTAGTGCTTTATAATGTTGTATTAGTCTGCAACTCTGCATGCAACGAAGCTTGTTTAATTTATATTCGGCAATACAGAGATTTTCAGTATATTTTCTTATGTTCATCCATGAGAAGTTGGATACTACATGTACTCTGTAATATCTACACTTGTTGGATTCACTTTCCAATTTCTATGATAGCTAAAGAATGATATGTGAGTTTGTTTTCATTAGGTTATGGATGTTCCTGTGATAATTTGTGTTTCTAAATTCTCTCTTTTTGTGTGGTATTTATGTTTCATATCTTCATGACATCCAACTTTGCAGGTCCAGCTGCCACAGTTGATGAATTGATAGATTTTATCTCTGCTGCTCATGTCGCAATGTCTTCAGAATCACAGTACTTGGAAGATGATATCAAGGTCTGCCATTTTCAATCCAGTCAAATATTGGCATGAAAAGACTTTCTTTTCTTTGAACTATTTTGTGCTCAATTTGGTATTAAAAAAAATTCTACAGTATAAAAGTTGTTAAAGGTGTCTACAACTGGTGTTTCCCCATATTGCTACAGATAAACTTGAAGAATCCGTCTGCTGTGAGCGATCATAAAAGGAGGAAGCTACACAGCTATGAGTTGCATAGAAAGAAAAAGCAGATGAGTGTGTTTGGTAAAGACGATCAGACACTTCATCTGCCAAAACCCATGGTTGGGTTTGGTGTACCTAGTGAAACATGTCTTACATTCAAGGGGAGGACTCTTCCAAGTGAAGCAAACGGTCCTCCATACTTCTATTTCGAAAACGTCGCCCTAGCACCGAAAGGTGTCTGGGAAACCATGTCTAGAAACCTATTTGATATTGAACCAGAGTTTGTTGATTCCTTGTACTTCTGTGCTGCTGCAAGGAAAGAGGGTATATACATAATCTGCCTGTTCACAACAGATTCCCTTTACTTCCACTTCCACCACGCGATATACACGACGCACTTCCCTTGACAAAGAAATGGTGGCCTACTTGGGATTCTCGTACGAAGCTCAATTGCATACAAACTGCAGTTGCAAGTGCAAAACTTACAGAAAGGATCCGTAAAGCCTTGGAAGACTGTAATGGGGAGCCACCTAAGAGAGTGCAAGATTACGTTCTTGATGAATGCCGGCGGTGGAATCTAGTGTGGGTAGGAATGAACAAAGTAGCACCTCTAGAGCCCGATGAAGCTGAAATGCTCATGGGGTTCCCAAAGAATCACACTAGAGGGATAAGTAGGACGGATAGATTCAAGGCACTTGGCAACACGTTCCAGGTATTCCATCAATGATCTACTCCATGATCTGTGTTTAAATTAATGGATCTATTCTGAACACAATGAATCCTCTAAGTAATAAAGACTAAATTCCATTGTTGGTCCTTCAAGTTATTGGGTCATGCAGAGTTAGTTCTTCAACTTTAAAAATTCTACAAATAGTCCTTCAAGTCACGTAAGCATTGCATGGTTGGTCTTTCTGATAATTTTGCCGTTAGTTTATGCATTGTTTTTCATTTTTCATTATAAATACAAGTAAGAATCCTTCTTTTTTATTTAATACAATTGAGTCATACTTCATGTGGATCCATTTTAATATAATTGAAATTATAGGGAAAAAATTAAGTCTGATTGACTATAAAAAGTCAAAATTTGATAAACACTTTAAAACGAGTGAACATTTTATTAAAAAAAAATTGCTAATAAAAGAAAAAGTAACTAGTTATAATTAAATTGGAGTAATAAAACTAAGAGTAACTTATTATAATAAAAAAAAGGACCTATATTAAATATGAAGAAGAGAGGGTTCCTTGCATGTATTTATAATGAAAAATGAAAAAAATGCATGGACTAATGGCAAAATTAATAGAAAATTAATGGAAAGACCAATCATACAACGTTAAAGTGACTTCAAGGAATATTCCTGAAATTTTAAAATTTGAAGGATTAACGTAATTGTGCATAACATAATAACATGTAGGACCAACGTGAAATTTAGTCAAGTAGTAAATATTGATAGCATATTGTGTTAATGCTAACTTGTTACCAACAAGAACAACAAAAAAACCTTACTCCTTAAAAAATATAGAAAAGTATTTTAAGTATTGTAACCAGTCTCCTCAAACAAAAAAAAAGTATTGTAACCAGTAAGTAGCAATGAAGTTTAAAGTGTCATTTTAAGTAGCCAACGAAGGCTAAGTACCTTACAACAAAACACATTGTAGGTAGCCAATGAATAAGTTCAAAAGGTCATCTTGATTTAGTCTAGCTACCCTACTATTTTCCTAAAGCTAAAGCATTGTCAACAACAACTACTCATTTTGCTAGCATTTGCAATAATGTTTCAATCAACCAGGTAGACACAGTAGCATATCATCTCTCAGTATTGAAGGACATATACCCTCAAGGCATCAATGTGTTGTCACTCTTCTCCGGGATTGGCGGAGCCGAAGTAGCTCTTCACAGGCTGGGAATCCGCTTGCGAAACGTAGTCTCTGCAGAGAAATCAGAAGTGAATAGGGCAGTGGTGAGGAGCTGGTGGGAGCAAACAAGCCAAACAGGGAATATGGTGGAGTATGATGGCGTGGAAGCGTTAACGCGAGATGAGATACAGCGCTTGTCTTCTTTGGTTGGAGGCTTTGATGTGGTGATTGGAGGGAGTCCGTGCAATAACATCTCTGGGAGCAATAGGGTAAGTAGGGATGGAATAGAGGGGAGTGAGAGTTCTCTTTTCTTTGAGTTTGTTCGTGTTTTGAATGTTGTGAAAGGGCATTGAAATGCTCTCTTTCACCTGCTTTAGGGCATGCTGGATATTGGCGGATCCACTAGCTTATAGCCTTTTGACCAAGAACAACTGATGTAGGTTTTAAATTAATTGTTTGGCAAATAGCTATTTTGCCTAGCGGTTAGGATTGAACAGCCAATAATCCAAATGCTGGGATTGTGAATTTTTTTCATGCCGTTAATGAACTTTTTTATTATTTAGTTGATGTATGGAGTATTAAGAAAGGATTTACATACGGAGTGTGATTAGTTTTGTATGTTATTTTTCTTTATTTTTAAAAACTTTGTAAAACTAGCAAATTTCTTTTTTCCTTTAAATTTGGCCAAACTAGCAGGTTTTTTCTTTTCTCTAACTATGTGCTCTCGGTGCATTTTTTTGGTATATTCTTTGCTCAGTATTTATTTTCATATATAGAGTTTGTTTTTATTAAAATCTAAAAAAATAACTAATTATAATAAAATATTATTTTCTAATTAATCACATTAGGAGGTATGTCACAAAATGTAATTTATATCATAAATAGCTATTTGTGAACAACTATATATATATATATATATATATATATATATATATATATATATATATATATATATATATAATATATATATATATATATATATATATATATATATATATATATATATATATATATATATGGGCCGGTTCCTGTGAGAATGCACCTTGTGGAGAGAAATGAGAATGAAATCTAGCCGTTGGATATGATGCATCGTGCGGCTCAGATTGCATCCTGCGCTCAGATTTTGAGATAGTGCATTTTTAAAAGATTATGATGCATTTCAACGTGATGCATTTTTAAACCATTTTGTTGCATCTGATTTTGATGCAATCCTAACCCTTAGATCTCACAATCTAAAGCACTAGATTCATTCTCATTTCTCTCCTAAGATCGCATTCTCACCAGAACCAAAATCTATATATATATATATATATATATATATATATATATATATATATATATATATATATATATATATATATATATATATATATATATATATATATATATATATATATATAAGGCAATTGATATCTATACTCCAACTATCATCCATACTTTATTTAAAAAGACATGGAGTCAACATATGATTTTCCCGCCCAAAGAGTATGACAATCACAAATGGCAATTGTGAAGTTAAAATTACAAATAGCAATATGACACAATTTATAATTGGTAATAAATATTAACTGAACATATTTTTTCTAATCAAGGTAATTCTAAATCCTCAATAATAATGATACCTTGGAATATTATACAAAAGGAAATATAATTTTTTAAAAAAGGAATATTAGTTTTAAAACACAATGCTTTCAATTCGTATAGAGTGTACTAATTATTTTGGGGATAAATAAGTATTATGAGTACTGACTGGAAACCTCCAAAATTTTTGCAAGAATAAGTAACTGTCATTTTCAACCTTTTTTGTGTAAGCATGAAGTTAATATAGCTATTATTTTAATACTTCCTCCGTCCCGTTTTAAATTGCCCGTTTTGATTTTTGGGCATATTTATGGAAAAGAAAAAATAGAATTGATTTTTCGAAATTGCCATTATTTTTTTAGAAAGATTGACAATGAATAAGAAGATAAGCTGGTGAAGAGTGACTAATTTTAGGGGTAGTTTAGATATTTTACTCTTAAAAGTTTACGAAAACAAGTAACATGCAACTTATTTTGGGACGGAGAAAAAAGGCAAACAAGCAATTTAAAATGGAACAGAGGGAGTAATACTTGGCGTGAGTAATATAAAATGGTAAGCGTGCAGTGAAATATCACATGGACTATTCGTGCATACAACTCTTATTACTCGTACTATTTTGATGGTATAAATAATATTATTACAGCTAGGTTCTTTTGACAAAAAAAGTTTTAGTCATAATAACAATACATATATTACTTTATTCAAAAAATGATGATTCTTACCTCCTAACCTCCCATAAGTAAGGAAGGATGGGTTTATAGGGAAAGGAGTTATAAGAGTAATAACCATCTCAAATAGATGAGTGTAATCCTTGGCGTATTATGACAATAAGAATTATTGTAAAAAAGAACTGATTGAATGTTATGACAATAAGAATTATTGTAAAAAAGAACTGAGTCGATATTATGACAATAAGAATTATTGTAAAAGAACTAAACCTAATGACGGACTTTTGTGGAACTCATGATCAGGTTTATCTTGGAGCACTTAAACAAGTTACAAACTCATTTGTACACCGCAGCAAGTTAAGAAAATATCTTAATTAATTAAAAAAATAAAAAATTAATATACACAAATAGCAAGTTTGTACAGTTTGTGAACAAAAAGTTTGTGACTCTAGCATTACTCCTTGTAAAACTATCTAAAATCGGATGCGACTTGTGAGTTGTGTAATACGGAGTAGTAAGGGAGAGTGCAATTACAATAAGCCACCATTGGGTACATGGAATTAAAGTCGGAATTAGAGACTTCATTTCCAGATTTGTTATTTGTCAACAAAGCTATAAAATTTTCTTCTGTACAGCTTTTTGTCAAGTCGGATGAAAGAAAATGTGAAAGCCTGAACTACCAAACATATGCGAGATTCTGTTGCTGTAATTGTAAGCCAAAATGTCAACTACGAAAAACCAACGAGAGAAAATCAAGTCCAACCTATATGAAACAACCCTTCTTGGGATCCAAGCCAAGCCCCCTGTGTCCTCTGTACACCGTAAATCCCTGCCAAAAATAATCAGGCGTAAGCTGACCAAGAGAGATTGCTTGGGTGCTCTATAAGAAGCACATAGCACCCACAGTATTCCAGCCACTTAGGGCCAGTCTTTTGGGAACTCGAAATGCTAGGACGGGGTTAAGAGGAAAATTGAGAGGATATTTGAAAGGAACTCAGATTTGTGGGTGGGGGGGGGGGATTGTTAAAATCCAGCAACTCAATCTTGGGTATTTGTTCAAACTTATTTTATTTACGTATATCTATAATCTATTATATGAAGAATGAAATCTAAATTTTATAAAATCTCTTAAAGTGTCGGTCAAATTCGATTTTCCTTCCTATTTTACAAAGGAATACCAAACATTAAAAACAAGTTTTCCAGGGAATTTTTTCGCCTTAATAGTCTTTGGAATCCAAACACAGCCTTAGTGTTTGACACCTGTGTAATTTGTGGCCTATTGTGGGGCACTTTGGTGTAATTGGAAATTGTGTTGTTTAAAAAAACAAATCCTTTAAAATATAAATACCTCCCATTCTAGGCCAGCATAGTAGCGACGGGATTTCATTCATGATTTTTCCTTGAAACAACATTTCACCAGACTTGATGCTCCAAATTCGAAGGTGGCCGTCCTCTCCACCTAAATAATATTATCCTTATATCAGATGATTCATTAGTTTTCTTAAATACAATGACGAAAACCATCTTTACCAGACATGACAAGACTCTCTGATGGATCAACTCCTAGCTGTATGCGTGTATGAGAGTTTACATTGCCTTCGTAAGATTGCAAAGCTCCTCTCTGAGTTAGTCGATTATCATACAACTTCAACTGGAAAGGCAAGTCATAACTGGATCAAATATGCAGAAATAGGACTACATTTTTCATGGGTAATCAGAAAATCAAATGTATTTAACCATAAGTGAATTTAGCTGCAAAGCCATTCCTTGTGTGTTTGCATGCCTAAGGATGATTCGCTTTCTTGCAACATTTGTCTCATCTTCCACCAATCAGAAGGGGTTTTTTATTACACTTATTAAGTTATAATCTGCTTTCATTGTCCTTGATAAAAATAGAATCTATCAATCTACATTAGGAATGGGTTGGGATAGCTCAGATGCGTCAGCCAGTAGAGAAGAGGATTGATTATCCTTGTGCCACCAGTTCAAATCTAGTTCGTGACACACAATGCTTGCATTATCTAGTTCTTGATAATAAGTAGGGAATATCTCTTTTCCTATGATTATATGGGCATTGACTTATGAGATTCAATGCTTGCAATGAACAAGTAAATGCTTGCCTTTGGCTAATGGATTTAACCTTTAATCTGCTTTATGCATTGTCAAACAGGAAAATCTTGATGTTGCATTTATTAAGAATGGAGGAAGTATTTAAACAAATATTTAAAAAAATTAATATATTAAAAAATTATTCAATATTTATGTGCCGCAAAAAAGTTCCAAAGTTACCAAATTGCCACCACGTCTTCAATGCTTTTTAGCCTTTTTTTAGTCTTTAGATCTTGAATAAAATGCACCATATTAATTTTCATTCACTCTCCTACGATGTGTGCACACACATGAATACATATGAGATGCTATTAAGTGAGGTGAATATGAAATCTTTTCTTACTTTAACATCTCAATATTTCAGTTACATTACTAATTTCATAGACATCTAAGAGGTAAAAGTGTAAGAGAAAATTGCAATCGGAAACAAATAATTACACAATTTACAAACAAACAAACAAAAATAAAGCTACAACAACTAGAAATAAAACAAGTGCCAAGTAAATGACTAAACCATAATCACAGAATTCACTCCCTAGGCCGCGACTTCCGTATTGGTACGAGACGTACTCAATCGCAATACGATTGCAATCCGAACGTAGTCGGTAGTCAAAATCGCGATCCAATCTGTACGCTTCCGCAGATCGACCTAGGGTCACTGATTCAAATCGCGTGCTAGATTGGAAATCCTTCAATCGATCACCGAGCAAGATCGTACTATTGTCTGGGATCGGCGATTCCATGGGAACGAATGTCACCTGTGGGAAAATCAATTGACGCGACCTTTCGGTTGACGTGACTCCTCCCAAACGATGCTTCTTGAGTCCATTTATCTACTAACCTTTTTTTATCGTTATCTATTGATATTAAGAAATCTTGTTTACTGATGTTTTGACTTTTGGTACACCGAACCGAATACATGGTACACTGTACCGCTTCGTACCAAAATGAACCTACACCCCTTCGTACTGAATCCGTCCCCTCTAGCGAATTTTGTACCCGTACCGAAACGTACCGTGATTTAGGTGACTATGGACTAAACCAACACAAAACCTTTCTCACATACAACAACCACAACAACCCAGTTAGATCCAACGAAGTAGGATCTAGGGAGGGTGTGTATGAAGACCTTGTCCCTACCCGAAAAAAGAGAGGTTGTTTCTATGAGACCCCACGCTCAAGCTGCACATAAAAAAGGATCACACACTAGATACATAAAGCAAAGAAAGCACAAATACAACG